CCCGCAATCAACAAAATAGGGGTCGTGAGTCTCTATCACTCCTATTTTGGGGGTCGTAGGCTGAAAAATTTGAGAAACCCACAAGTTGAAGAACAGACCGGAAAGCTGAGGGCAGATGCTGTACAGAGAAGTGAATTTCCCTGCTGTACGTTCCACCGCCTAGTTTTACTATAAATATTGTATCACACTGGCAATACCAGAATGCTTCAGTCATGCTAATTAGACCAACTCTGAAGAACAGAGTTCAGACATTGCTTTTAAACAATGCTCATCTTAAACCTTTTAAAACTGCTCATCTATGATTTATGCGCATTAATTGTTGAAACTCTGCCAGAACTTACGCAGCTGCACGACGGCGCTCTCCCCGTCAACGCCCAGGTAGTGCAGGGTCTGCTCCCCGTAGTAGGAGGCGCCGGTCTTGTCCACTTCCGTGCTGGCCGTCACCAGCACCGCCGTCGCTGGGAGAGGATCGGATGGTACGTGACACATCACACAAGGGCCTGTCTACATGCATCATGGGATTGATCAGGGGGCCTGATTCCTGGAGCTAATATACTGGCCGATATCCAGCGAAATATAGTTTTACACAGTTTTTCCATACCTGTAACTTTTCGCAATCATATCCATTCCATGCTCCATCCTTACATGGACCGTACCACCACTCGCCTAACATTTGCACAGTCTAGCTTCAGCATACCTTTCTTGTTCCACAATAATGTCACTTTGTCCGCCTTAAAGAAGCTTCTGTTTGCCAGGGCGGAGGACGGGCCCCCAAAATTAGGGTACTGGTAGAGACGGACGAACGAGGGGGTGCCCTTGCTTCCTGGGACATAGACAGCAACCTTGAGTGGCAATACATTGATTCGTGTTAGTCGCGTCACCACAGCCATGGAAATGAACAAATTAGATAATACGAGAGGCTCAGTGGCAGGACCTTGCTGGGCTGGGGTCCGGGAGACAGGGCGAAGTCGGACACCTTCTGCAAGTGAAGCTTGTTGGCGATATTATCTGGAAAACAGGAAGCAGATCCTTATACAGGAAGACGTGGGCAGTTCATGGCGGAATATACACGCTTAATGCGCCACTGAAACTGTCTGGCAGGCCGGCCAGCAGAGAGGCCCACCAAAGGCGTTGTTCTCGAAGAAGTGCAGCTCGTTGTTGACGTTCCGGACGGCGATGCTCTCGTCATCCGACCAGCTAGGACACCTGAGAACGGACGTAATGGAGGCTGTGAGGCGTTACCATGCCGACGAGCATAGAGGGTTATGACACAAACCCACTGCTGATACAGCGGAGAGAGTAAAGTATATCTGTATCCAACGCTGGCAGATTTCCGCTGGCCGCGCCGACTTACAGCCACATGAGAGCGAAACTCCAGAAAGACACTATAGCTCATACTGTCACATGACCTCACATCAGCAAGTGTCACAGTGAAGGATGATTTAGAATTCGACATATAATCTAGGGCATAGCCGTGCACTCTACACCATAGCCTGACAAGCACCTCCCCAGAAATGTAACTACAGGCGTCGGGCTACGACGTAGGTGCACAGCTGTGTATTATCTGTGGCTTAGATTCTACGCAGAAATGTCAATCAGCCTTAAGTCCACGCCCCCTTGGCAAGCTACCAGAATGTCACCTACCAACCCTGGGCCTTCTTCTGGTAGAAGGACTTGAGTATGGCACCAGTATGTAGGTTCCATAGCTGCAGGTTAGGTTCTCCCTGTGGGTTGTCCTGGGTTTCTGAGAGAAGAACCACCACCATGAGCTTCTAGGAGCCACAGAAGATGTGCAGCAGCTGCGCCAGAGCTCCGTAAAGCCAGTGGAACCTCAGCTCGCCTGTGGCTCTCCGGCACGTCTCGGGGTACCTACTGACATAGGGCTGCCATGTGACCAACACAGAACCCAGGGGCGAGAAGTCCAACATGGCAATCTTGGGAAGGTCGAGCGACTGAAGATACGTGCTGTCAGCCACCTTGAGAACGCTGACTCTGCGGGAAGGAGATCATGTGATACGCGATTCCATAAAACACTAAGGGCAGATGTGTCAACTATTTATCCGGATCCTCCACCCAATACAAGATTGGTACAAAACATCACATTCCTTACTTTTCTCCATTACACCAGCCGAATAAAGAGCCATCCTTACTAAAAGCAATGTATTTGCTTTTCTTTGTGTCCCTGGAAACAAACAGAATAATCCAAATGACTTCCAGCAATTTTTGGAGATAAACTACACTGAGAAATTTCAGGGCTTAATTCATGTAATAGTATGTGCATACAAGCAGAAAGTTTAAAATGACAGGATGCACCTTTGGAAGGATGATGTCTGTTCGCAGGCGGGGGGGCCGCATCGCAGGGATGTCCCGCTCGACTCGCGGACTGTCAGTCAGGAAAATTTCATTGAAACGTCTTACTTTAGGTGTAATATGGCTGTAAATGCACTCAGAGAATCGCTTGTTATCAGTCAGACTGACCACAAGCGGATACGGAAACCGACGTAAAAGTTCAGCGCAGACTTTCAGGCATATTTCAATCAACCTAAAACCAAAACTGGCTATTTTAAACCCATCGTTCTCATACAGCCGTTCATTTTGTATGGACAATCGTGTCGGTATCTAAATTGTACTTAAGCAAACAGGCTGTGGTTAAATTTGTATTTGATTTTGATTTTATTCACCAGGAGTGGAGCGGAGTTGTGCTACATGTGGACGGCGCCACGCATAGCGTTAGCATTCCGGACAATCCGCCCAAATCCATCACATGGTCATAATTAACTGCGAGTCCGCATTGTAACAATATGATCGGTGATTTTTACATTGAAATAAGTAGTAAAGCACGGGATTAGGACACAGTGAAGCGGAGGAACTGACCTGCCAGCAGCGGAGTGGGGGCCGCCATCTTGTACCGGGAAGAGGGGGGGGGTGGTTGCGGTGACACAGGCGTCTGCAGCCAGACAGCGGTGATGAAACGCACCGATTCCGTTTACAAACTAACACACACAGTCAAACACTCCCATATAGTCTTACACACACCCATGTCATACGAGTTCCAGATACACCTCATTAGCCGTACTAATGATTGCCGCCGACGCCGTGTCTCATTGTGAAAATGTCTTTAATTCATTAAACTAGACAAGGATCTCAGAAATGTGTCAATGGTTTTACGGCAGGTAATGGGCAAAACCGGCATAGTAGGAGGCGTGCAGGGTAGTCGTCACCAGACCAGCGCTCATCGAGTGAGGGGCAGGCCGCAAAGTGACCACGCCCCTCTCTAAATAACCACGCCCCGGATCACGCGGTCACCACCAATACGCAGGAGATCGCATCGAAGCCACCCAACAGCAGGGCTAAGGACAAGCACAGCAAGAGCATCACGCAGAGGATCGGTCACATTTATTAAGCTGGTAGCACTTTGCAGATCAGTCAGGGGATCCTTTGATACTAAAACGATTGAGCAAACCCAAGCATGAGGATGGCAAAGTCATGCATACAGGAGAAACCCGTTTTTTTGTAGACCATTGATAGTTACCCAGGGGTGTCAGAAGCATTTTGAATGTAGGGGGGACACACTGGCATAAAACTAATATTTTATGTTAAATGTGTGTGTGTGGGGGGGGGGGGGGTCGAAACGAATAATTATGAAACGTGAGGGGGACATGTCCCCCTCAGATTTAATGGCAGCGACGCCCATGTAGTTACCTATAATGTCTTGCACAATGCAGGAGAAGCAGTGCACCGGATCTGGCTTATCTCTGTTAGCCCTCCCTCAGAAGCACACGCTGAAACAGGACTGGGGTGGGTGTTCCAGGCCATCCACCCCCAGCAGGGCCCCAGCTGCAGCCCAGCCAACGAGCGTGCCCCCCCTTCCCGCCTTCACCAAGACCTCCCCACCTCAAAGCAGCTCTCATAGGGCTCCTACCAGGAAGAAGAACAATGACTGGACCTCCAGGCTCCATATCAGAATGGAAGAGAAGGAAACCCTTTCATGGCAGGCTGTTGTGTTTGGCTTTTCATGTTCAGTTTCTGCAGCTGGACTCCCAACAGACAGATACTGTTGATATGTCTGTCTCACTCTGGTTTGTTTAACCAGGAATTCAGAACAGTGGGAGTCTTGGGGGAATGTTTCTGGAAAAAAGACAGACGTGTCTCCACCACGATGCCTCTGAGTCTGTACAAATTGTACTGAAATATATTGTCCATGTTGTTTTCACAACTTGAGATGTTGGGTGTCTCACCTGTTTTACTCTAAAAATGATCAAATGTCTATTAGTATATCTCAGGTGATAGTAGTTTCTGTGGTAAATTCTCTGCAGACTATTTTTCTGACTGTTGTTCTTCACCTGAAAGTGTGAGATCTACCCTATCTGGCTTGACCTGAATGATGCGACTATCATCCCCAAGTAGCTAGTTTCTTGCAGTAAAACTTACCAGTCAGGGTGGGGGCGGGTATTCTGTCTGTAAAATTTGCTCATGGGGGGGAGGGGGGAGGGGGGAGTGTCGTGCCGGAGGATCAATTGGTCAAATTTAAGCTTATCTGTTCTCTCTTAGGTTTTTGGGTCTTTGCATGCAATTATTATGTTTTCCCCACGTCTGTTCACAAGTTGTCTACCACTCTAGCATGAAAAGGCAGATGTAAGGTTAGTCCTGTGTCTTTGTGCCAGTTCGCTTGACAGTGAAACAATCAGGAGACTCCAGAGGTAAAGAAAAGCCAGACAGCATAAAGTCTCAAAGTAGCAATAGTCCATTACAGCTGGGAGGGGGGCAACTTTGTCTGTCCTGAAAACTTGCTAAAAATGCAAATAACATACATGTTGCTATAATTTAAACGATCATATTAAGTTATATCCTTAAATGTGACTTCTGGTTTTCGGGGGCCGCGGGCAACTGCCTTCTCATGCCTTATGGGAAGTTGCCCCCTGCTTATCATACAAAGCAAAATCCCCTATCGAAGTCCCCCCAACACAGATGGGAATTAAATCCAGTTTGGTTAGGAAAAGTGCTACATAAATGTAATATTTATTGCTGATGCAGTCAATTTAATTTTAAGAGGAAAAAAAAGAGAATGTGTAACCTTTAAAAATAAGTGTGACCACAGTGTTGTGTGATCATGTGAACACAAGCATTGCTGTAGGCTTACTTGATCAAGCGGCCACCAGATGTCCTACACGTCACGTGACCGAATGCTTTGTGTTCTGAGACGTAACCTGATGCTGATGTTTCCCGTGTCAGTCATTGGTCCAAAGCGGCATTTCGGAGATCTGGGCTCGGCCAACGCAATGGAAAAACGCCGGGGTGGCATTTCCGCGCCCGAGTTCAACCGGGCTCACCGGAGCGCTCAGCCTTCAAGCGAATGGTCCAGGAGTTTGCGGAGACCACGTTGCCACGGCGAAGGAGTCGGCATGTGTATGTGCCTTCGTTGAATTCATTGGCTACGATCCGTAGCTCGTGGCCCTTCATGGCGATGTATCCGGGCACCGAAGATGCCAGCAGCTCCCCGTCTTTGTACCACCTATTCGGAGAGAAAGCCGTACAAAGCGGTATGATGCAATGGCGCATGTACTGCGATGTGTAACAATATATGGCCACGCTATGGGATTGCGTGAGTTAAGTGCTATATATATCAGAGCGTGTGCGTATCCTGTACCTGACTTTGGAGGGAGTTTTGGGAGTGTTTGCACCGCAGCGGAACCGTGCCACTCTGCCCCGGGGCACAAGTTTAACTCTGATGTTGGAAGCGGGTGGTGTTGGCATGGTAACTGCATCAAGAGGCTCTGTGAGGATAGGCAAGGGTGGGGGAATAGAGGAGTGAATCAGTGCCACAGAGATGCATGAGTGTTGCGCAGACGACCTGGATGAATCTGGATCATTCTGGATGATCTCTTGGACCATGGCTGTGCCGAGGCAAGCTTTGGCTTTGAGGTTTTGGATCCTTTAAGGCACTAAGGTTGCGTTATAATGAAATTGAACCACAGAAGACGGAGAAGTACCAGATCCAAATTGGTCTCTCACCCATGCAGAGGTCACACTGACGAGGGCAGTTCTTCTTCATGAAGCTCCTCCTCTGCTCACAGAACCCGAGTCGGGCCCACGGGTCACACACTCTCCGCTTGTCCAAGCACCCTGTCCATGTGCACATGGAGAATTAGGCAAGTCTTCTGCTTACTGATCCTGCCCAAACCTGTCTCCATCCCGCGGTACCGTAGAGGCGCTGGATGGCCCACACGTCATCCTGGGTGACGTCCCGCTGACCTGTGTAGGTGGCATTGGGGTGCATCAGGGCCCTTGGATCCCTGGAGTGCCACAAACCGAGGGCGTGGCCAATCTCATGGGCAGCTACCTGAACGAGGTCATTGAGCCACACACCTGAGCACAGGCAGGCGTCCAGCCGCACAGGGACGGACACACACACACATGCACAGACACAGACACACACATGCTTAGTTATCATTAGGGTTGCAAGATTCTGGGAACTTTCCCGTTAATTCCCATACATTCCTGTTAATTCCCCTGGAAAGTTTCCAACTTGGAATATTTCCAAAATTCCCCAGCTTAACTTCTCATGGAATGGAAAGTTTCTAGAAATTTTCCACCTCTTCACAACCCTAGTTGTTTTGATCTATAATTTCATATTAGCATATTGATTACAAATGTGAGTGAAGTCATGTGGGATTTATAATAATTCATTAAATTAAATTAAATTAAATTAAATGTGCGTGTTTTAATTTTCTGACACACTGAACTGTCTGGCGTAGTGTTAGCTGCACGCTGTGGGTGAAGGGACCTTGTTTCCAGCTGTACCGGGACCTGCCAAGTACCCAGAATTCATGGTTGTCAAAGTGGATCTCGCCACGGGGGGGCAGGAAGGCATGAGCTAGCTCCCCATTCACACCGTCAAAGCAGGGATGCAGGGGGGCCCACCAGCAGTCCGTGTGGTTGTGGGTGTAGAATCCTGAGAAGAATCACACACACACACACACACACACACTATATCTGTACATGTGAAACACACAAGGAATCCCTGTCTGCCGCAATCCACATGGAGCTAAAACCTTGTTGAAATGATCATCTATGGCAGAGTCTAATTAAACTACGGACATCGGAAAATGTCCGATTTAAGAACGGGGGTGAGCTTCGCGTCCCGCATGTCTGCTCGCACCAATGGTGATGTCGGCGCTCCTGTTGGGCTGGGTGACTTCAGTGAAGGACATCGGTGACACTTCGCTCCACTTGGCGAAGGCGAGACCGATGGCTTTGCGTGTGTCTTCCTTGTTCAGGGTTCTGGGGAACCTGGTGATCCTGGTCAAAGTCGCATTATATAGCAGCGGAATATCGGATTCCCACAGCTGCTTAAGCTGCATGTTTTAAAGTCAAATTGACATCAATCATTATCTGCCACTTACATTGCAGCACAACAAATGACCTCGCCATCCTCCTTATATATATCAAATACTATGCATCAAACAGGCATCCCCATGATCTCTCTGCCCTCCCTTACTTGTAGGTGATGTTAAAGTGTCCCCACTTATAGCCCAGAGGGTTGATGGTATAGCGTCTGGATCGGATCAGAACCGGTCCTGGCAGAACATCTTCAGAAGCAGAAACCTAAACAGAGCAGGGAGGGTGACACGAGCAGTTTGAGCTGCAGAGTGTTTTACTCCTTATCCTGCTCCTTTCTTACACCCTGTCTCTCCACCCACCCCCACACAGAAATATCTACCATCCACATGTGACTGTAGCCCCTATGACCCCCAGTGTCTCCTCACGTCTCCCTGAGCGCTTTCTCCTCCCGATTCTCTCTGGCCGACTTCTTAAGAAATAACTTTGGTTTATAATGCTTCATAACGACCATATGTCTTCATTTCTTCTCCATTTGTCATGTGCTTTGCAAGTGTAATGGAGTGTCTCTGAGGGGCTAAGAAAGCTTCAGCTTCAGTCTCCCCTGATCTAACACCCCAAATTTGCCACCGGCCGTGTTCGAGCTGCCATCTCTCTGGTCCCGGATCGTTCCGCTCTGCTTACCTCCCGACCGGCCCAGAAAGGAGATCCCGCCGCCCAGTGCAGCACCAGAAGCAGCAGCACCGCCCCAGACTCCCGGAAAGTGCAGTGCCTGGCTGCAGCCGACCCTCTGCATGCCATGGGGGGGTTGCCTTTCATGTCAGAGCCTCACGCTCTTCTGAGCCCCTTCAGAAAGCTGCTCACCAAAGACGCAAAGCCCACCTGGACCCTCCTCTTTCTCCTCCTCCTCCTCCTCCTCCCGGAGCAGCAGAGTGTTCCCCCACCGCCGCCCCCAGATTATAAACAGCCACACAGCAGATGCAGACAAACCTGCCAGACATTTTATGTTAAGAGCAGGTCCAGGGCCTGGAATTTGGGGTCCCTCGCGGGAATTTTTGCCAGCCCACATATGCATCGGCCCACTGGGAAAGCGCCCGGGAAAGCAGAAGCATGAGGAAACATGGAGAAAATTCAGGCCGGACCGTGATATTTCACACACCTATCGGCCACAGATGGCAGCCAGATGGGGTTTTTCTTTTTTTTTTAATCGCTCAGTTTGAGGCCCATTTCTCTCAGAGGAAGAGGTCTGCATCCGTGGCATGCGAGGCACCCCCATCAGTGCGTGGTGTACCCACCTATACCCGCCCGAGGTGCCCCCATCAGTGCGTGGTGTACCCACCTATACCCGCCCGAGGCGCCCCCATCAGTGCGTGGTGTACCCACCTATACCCGCCCGAGGCGTCCCCATCAGTGCGTGGTGTACCCACCTATACATGCCCGAGGCGTTCCCATCAACTCAGGCCCAGTGCCAGTCTGTAGGATCTCAAGGGCCAGTTACAACAGCTGTGGGCCGACTTGTTGTAGGAGAGGATACAACGGCTGTTGGACCGAATCACCGCATGTATCCAGGCCCGGGGGGGGGGTGTCACACCCTACTGACATGGGACCAGCAGTGTGCCCATACCGCTAACACTGTTATCCTTTTGATCTGGTAACATAATCATTGTCATACAGTCACATGACCTTTCACCACGTGCAGATTCATTTCATTTACACCACTCTGTCTGGGTGCTTAACTTTTTATGTCACTGAGTGTATTTACGTTTTATTTATTTAGCAAATGTTTTTTTATCCAAAGTGATGGACATTTTTGAGAAGGCAGGGTCAGGCAGCCCCTGGAGCAACTAGAGGTTAAGGGAGTCGATAGCAAGATCACTCTACCATGAGGGGGATTTGAACTGGCGACCTTCTGAACACAGGCGCAGAATCCAAACCCGCAGTCACATGCCCCAGCCCCCCAGAAAAAAGTACACAAAAGAAGCAGGGAATCCGGTTATGACGTTTAATTGGGTTAACTGGACAGTCACAAAATTACCAAATGAAGACTGAACACCAAAGCAGGAAGGAGGGGGGAGGGGCGGCACGTTCTGGGCCTCTCTCAGGATGCAGCAGGTGAGGGCAGTGGGGGCTTCGGGTGGTGTTCGGCAGGACTGTAGTGTTTGGGGAACTTTGTGCTGGGTGCAGCCATTCTCCCCCACCTCTGGAAGCGCACCTCTCTGTGCCGGAGGGGGGATGCATGGCTGCTAAGGGCTGTGGGGGCCTAGGGGCAAACCCCCCCCACATCTGCTTTCTGGGTTTAAAGGACCAACCGACATCCCATCACGTCAGAAAATGGGCAGGGCATAGACTGAGCCAGTTTGTCTCCCCGGTGCCCCCTGAGAGATGCCGAGCTCACCCACAAGGGGGCAACAGCACACACTAGCTGGACTTACACTCGGACACACACGCTACCACTAAGCGAAGCCGTTTGGATCTAAATTGGATTTTTTTTTTCACGTCGCGATATTCGCATTAACCGCATGACTGCTCCTACTGCTGCTTCATGTTCCTTAACGGCAAAAGGATTTGGTCACGGGAACGAAACACTTCGCAGGGAGATGGAGAGGAAGCAGAGTGGAAAGAAGCACACTCAGCGGCGAGCGGGGGCAAGGAGGAGAGGAAGGGCGGAGGGGCACAGCACACGGAGCGCACGGCGGTAAGAGATAAACCAGCTGACAAAACCCACGGGATATAATGAGCAGGGAGGCACAGGGGCCGACTATACCACTAACTTATAGGGGAAGAGGGAAAAGGAATGGTCCAAAGTGCAGGTGGGGGGGAGGGGACACAATATATATGCATCAAAGGACAAGCTTCAACACACCCCAACAGATGGGGGGGGGTTCATTCCTGCTTCAATGAAATGCTTTTAGACACCGTGTATTAACGCAGAAACTCCGAAATCTCCGGTTACCCCTCCTGCAGCCATCCGTCAGAGACCTGAATGTCACTACTACATGGCCACCAGCATGGTCTCCTCAGGCCTCCTATTTGAGAGTGCGTCCCCCCGCCCCCGCCACCCACGGCTCCAGCAGCACTAACAGCGGGTCTCGTAGATGCCACTGCGGCCAATGTAGCGCACCCATTTGATGACATCATGGTCGCTGTAGTTCAGCTTGGGCTCGAACACCTTGAGGTAGCGCACCTTAAGTCCAGAGGGAGCAAAGGGCACCTGAGGAGGGCGGGGCGAGGGGGAGGCTGATCAGATCACAGGCGCACACTGAATAAGATGGCAGAGTGAGAGCGGCCCAACTCACCTCGAAGTTCATGGAGATGGGGGGGCGCGCCCACTTCTTCTTATCGTTTGTGGGCAGAAGCTCGATCTCGGCGCTGATCTGCGACTCCTTCATCCCGGCCATGCGCTTGATCCTGCGGAACACGCAAGGAGTTACTCGCGTTCACAAGGTGGCGCCATCACCTCCCCACATGCACGCGCACACAGAGGGACTCACTTCCACACGATGGCGTTCTCGCTGGCCTTGTACTTCGCTTTGCCCTTCATACAGATCACCTGCACCCCGCTGGTGTTGAGGGGGGTGGGGATTCGCACCTGAGGGGGCAGAGAGGGAACGTTCTGCTTCAAGTCCCAGCTCTATGTGACACCGGGTCAGCAGACCAGCCCCGATCCTCACCTCAATCTTCTGGGCCAGCAGGGAAGGTTTGAAGTTGGACTTGATGACCACCTTCACCTCCAGTTTGGTGCGGCCGACCTCCCTGACCAGAGGAATGACCCGGAAGGGCAGGATGATGTCCTTAGTGGTGCGGTACCTGCATACAAACTCACGTTATGAGCGTGACATAGCGGTGATGTGCAAGCGTGACCATGACTCGGCGACTGCGAATCCGCTGACCTCATGAGCTCGTACTCCCCATCGGGGGGGATGAAGCTGATGCTCCTCTCCGAGTCGAACTTGCTGAGTCGCACGCATTGGTGGAAGGTGCAGTCGTCGATGGCGATGGACTGCTTTCCACTGCCGGGGTGAAGGGGAGGAGGGGGGGGTACACAGTTTAACAAGAACCTCCAGAAGAGCAGTGTAACAGAAACAGGACAATGGGGGACAGACTGAGAGCAAGGAGACGCGGACCAAGGGGACCAGGACAGTACTGATGGGTCCTCAAGCAGGGGATGGACTGAGCGTACAGGACAGACTGACACGGCTAGAACACATGGCTCACATACACAGACACGCATGCACGGGGCTGATGGGTCAGTATGAGACTCTGGCCAGGCGAGTTTTACACTACCTGCCCCCTAATTCACTGAGGTCCAGCACAGAGAGAAGAAAACGGGGAACAAATACAAAAAAGATACAAGAACCACCACTTAGGAACAGAAACACAAAAGAAACTGAATTCAAGAAATAAACAGAATCTCAGCACAGAAGCACAGATCTCCACCCACCCTGAACATAAATCAGTTTAACTGGAACCCAAATCAACGTGTAGACGGCGCAGGGTCAGCGGCTCAAGGTCTCAGGTGCGAGCCCAGCAGCGAGCCTCACCTCTTTCCCGCATCATCCGTTGCGCCGCCCTTGCCCTGCTTGTCGATGACGATCTTGTCGTTCATGCCAAACTTACACTCAGGCATTCCGCTCAGGTAGCTCTTCATCACGACCCGGCCGGACACATGGGCACTCAGAACCTGGCCTGGTGGGAGGGGTTACATGACAACATCCAATCAGCGGTGAAATTAAAAAGATGACCAAGCTGCAATGCCACTAGGGGCGGTCAGTCCATACCTTGTGGGGACATTAGCAGGTTGACGCTCTCCAGCACATCCAGGAAGAGCTCGTTTCTCCGGTACTTGATCCCCTCGCGACGCCAACCGATCTGCCCCGTCACCTGGCTAGTGATCTGAGACTGCTCCTCCTTGGTCTGGACGGGGAGAAGAGGAGGGTCTAGCTTTATGGACTGGCTGGCGTTGGCCACTACAAGTGTCACCTCGACCAAAAAAGGAACTGGTTTGACGCAGAAGAGCACTTACATGGTGCTTCAGTGTGTCAAGTCCACAGGAAGAGCGGGATCACAGCAACAGGGACAGAGAGAGGGAGAGCAGGCAGATCGTCAGTCACGTGCGGCAAAACCCCCGATACAAACCGCACCAAAAGCACCCTGCCGCTTACCTGACTCTTAATGCCCTGCTGGGTGATAAAGGTCTTCAGGGCTCCAGTTTCAGAGTTCTGGGGGTAGCCGAAGTCCAGGATCTCTACAGGGGGAAGAAGGTCATCAGACTGGGAGAGATGGGGCCTAGCGGAGGTCGGGGAGTATCCGTCATTCACAGCAAGAGAACACAAGATTACAGCAGGACGGTGGAGGTCCGGGAGGAGCTGAGGAATCCGCACTGAAGCCTCTATTGCCGGCTGGACCGATGGAACCCGTCTGCGCTGAACTTTCTTTAGGTTTTGATTTTCACACTAAAGGGCAAAAAAAAATCAAAACCTAAAAAAACCACAGCAGAGCAGAGTCAGCTGACGAAAACCCCGAGGAGAGTCCTTCAGGCCGAGGAGGGTCATGCGCTGAGGGATGAATAGCTAAAATAAAAGGACAGAAAGACAGAGATACCGGTGTCCGGTTAACGCGTGGATCTGGGGGCCAGATTACCGTCCAGCAGCTCGTAGATGAGCACGAAGTTGTTCTTGATGTTCTCCTCGCTGATCTTGCCAAAGTAAGCAGTCATGACGTCGCACATCTTGTAGAGGAACTCGAAGACCATGGCAGCATTGACATTCTGCTTGGTGACAGCGGCCAGCCAGATGTTGGAGCGCTTAACGTGGAAAAAACTGGTGCGGGCGATGTTGGTGACGGGCGAGCGGACCTGCTGCCGGGCGTGGATTACGTTCACACGGAACGCGTCCACCGCATTGCGCCTGGACAGACACACACACACACACAAAGCGTAAGCATAACCTCAAACAACAACTTATGTCTTCCTGACTGGTTTCACAGAACAAGACATCATGCTGTCTCAAGTCAAGGGAGCATATTATACAAAATAAATAAAATGCTTTAAATTATACTATATCATACCACAGCTTGTGCTGCACACCTGCCAACTTGTTGACCATCCACACTTTGGACAGAAAGTCAATTTGCCTGATGCACCAAACCAACCAGGACTAGAAGCCATAAGGAACCAGTGTCAGACTACACAGCCAGCCTCGGGAGGGGAAGATGAGAGGGAGAGGCAGCCTCTATGAGCTCAGTCTGGACCACTGAAGAACTTAATTAGACAAATCTCCATAAGAATTTAAAGATACTTAAAAAGATTTTGATTTTCAGTTCTTTCCAAGCCGCAATCTCCTCTGGACGAAGCAAAAGCCCAGCAGTGCAAAAACAGACTCAATCATTTAAACCTTTAGAGATGTTTTCATCTCAGAAGCTCATGCAAGTCCAACAGCCAACGACTGCTAAATGTCATCCTGTAGGAGTCTCCAACACAGAGCGTTTGGCTTGTCTTTAAAAATACACATCAAAAAATGTCTAACAACCAAAAGGAATTACAAAGCTGCAAAAAAAAAAAAGGTCATAAAAGCTGCAAGGGGAGCAGACAACAGCCTTTGGGCAGTAATGAATGGGGGAGAAAGCAAGCGAGGCAGGATTCCAGTCAGCACCACCCCATACCTGCAGGGGGCGCAAGCACACATGCTTTGGGGCAGTCGTTGCTGAGCTGGTCTTACCTATTCCTACAGCAGCCAATGCAGTGATGGACATGGACAGAAATGGCAACAGCAAAAGGAAGACGGACAGGAAGAGAGAGGAAGGAAGAGAGCAGGAATAGGCGGGGGCAAAATGGAGAGAGAGAGGATCAGGCACACAAACAGGCACTACACGATGATCCCGCTGAAGCCACACAGCAAATCCATCAAGGTACTATTCAAAGATATGACAGCGATGTACAGCAGAGAGAGGACACACACAGCAGGAGGGCCACAAGGGAGCAGAAGGGTTCTGCCGCGTGTGCTCTCTCTCTCCTTCTGAACAGAGAGGATCATGGGAACTTTGAATGACTGCTGAAGTACAAACCACCCCCTTATGCAAAACATTTAAAATGCAAAGCTTAGACTTTTCACCAAAACCCCTTATATTATACAAATCCCAGTCTCTGTTGCCTTCAGTCTTCACTCACCCTATGTCATCGCGGTACACCCGGGAGATCAGCACCTCCCCCTTGTGGTTGTAGATGAACAGTCCTCCAATCATGTTGGCAGCCGTTCAGTGTTGTCCTGCCATGACTAAATGCCTGCGGAGGAGTTGGGGAGAAATTAAAAAGTGTTCTCATGTGACAACATGGCTGCCCGCTGATTTGCTGAAAGCACAGTACAGCCCCTGAATAGACACGCAACACGGATCAAAGTAGGCATTCCTCTGCCAACCTAAACACCCCTAGACAAGACTGATGTTGCCTATCAGAGTGCATCTGTCCACCTTAGACGCGATAAACAACACGAAGGCTTCCGGACCGCCTGCCACCAGAAAGCCCCACCCATCTGAGGGTCTCGATTAGACCCCAAGAACCTCCTCCAGATCATGGATAAGTGAAGAGCTGAACTGGAATAGACTACTTGCTGATTAAACTGCTCTGAGCAAAATGTGTACTCCAAAACAATAAATTATCCTTAAGGATTACCGGGAAGTGCGGTGTGTGTGTACAAATTGTTACTGAAAACAGGAAAATGTTTAAAAATTTGACACTACAGAGACAGTCGTGGTCGGCTGCCATTTCCTATAACATACAGCGCCAGTCGGGCAGCCTTTTAAATGCATTTACATGGCGTACGCGGCTTTGCCACACAGACAACTTAAAACCCAAAGGTTAGGAATGGATTTCATCGCCATCGCATAGCGATGCTTGCCTCCATTGCGGCGTCCCGTCTGCGCTGGTCTCCAGCATCACCTCCATAATTCCCTGAAGGACAGTACGAGGCGAACGGGAAAAAATAATTAAAAATAAGACTAGGAGCCGGAACCGAGAACGATCCCAGCCGACTGTCCTTCCCACCGAGAAAAATAAGCATTGCTACTCGGCTTGCCGTCCACCCACCGAGGGACATGTCACCGCCCTGCGAGAGCCGGAGAGTCGGCGACGCGACACGATACACACCCCGGTCACTGCGCAAACATCCGCAGACTCCCACGGGTAGACACCCTTACAAACATGGCCCTTCTCTCACGGACGGACTGCAGTAGCCGCTTCGTCTCCATTTTCCCGCAGTTCCCCCCGTCACGGACCAAGATGTCGTCCACAGCGGCACAGCCCGCCGATCCGTCCTTTTCTCAGAATGCGCCCCATCCGCCAAATATGTCCGTTCATTCACAACTCGGCCTTCCAGCTCACTATCTCACCCTTTAAACCGTATTCCATTACGTTCCATCAAGCCGGATGCCCAAGCCGGATGACCTTACCGCTCTCCTCCAGTCCCGCTACCGCCGGACCGTTCCCGTTTAACCGGTACCACCGCACTTCTAGCTTCTCCGATTCAAAATGTCTGCCTCTCCTTCGCTGGGAGGCGACGGTCAGCTGACCGGCGCTGCTGCGTCATGACGTCATTGCGTACACCCGGGAGCCCCGCCTGTTTGCTGCCAGCCGGCTGGCCCTGAGCTATTCTTCACTTACGTGTATTCATACCGAGAGTAAACCCAGGTCAATAAGTGCTTCAGATTTAACGGGACTGTATTCGGTATGTAGCTAAAAGAAATGCAAACAAAGGGGCATATTGCCGTATCCGTAATTAATTTTACATGGACCAGCCGACATGCCCTACTTACCCCTACCGAAGGGGCCGACGCTGCACTGTTAGATTATGGACGGCTAGAAATACGGCCGTCGGAGGAGCTCAAAATCAGTAGAAATTTAATATTCATACATAGTACTGGTTCATCTACCATCCTGACACTTTAGATTTCTCACGGGAAGGTACAGCTGCCTCCATAATTAAAATTAAATCACTGGATTAGGCCTTAAGTCAGAATCTACCGTCAAAACTGGAAAAAAGAAAGTCACACAAACACGGTAATTTTAGGCAATAAAACTATGTTTATAAATAAAAACATTTTTCCATAAAACAGCATACAGTACAGTATGTATGAAATCGGATGTTTGTCGCTATACATTATCTGCTAATTATTAAAAACCAAAGATAAATGTAGTCAGGACAAAAATGCAGAAAGGCTTAATGTTACAAATGAGAAACTGAATACAGAATTTTTATGTTAATAATGAAGTATGCAGAAAGAAACAGTAAAACCTCTGAAATGTGCCGAGAGGGGAAAGGAGAAGTCTGGCATTCACCAGCTTGCTCCCGCCGTCAGTCTGCGTGTTCGCGTTTCTCCGTTACTCCACATGCATGTGGCGTGTGAAGGCCACATCTCCACTGTGGGCCGGACAACATCACTCACACCCTACACAGCTGCCTGATGGCACATTACCATGGCAACTCACTGCTGGTTAGCAGAAAAAGCTGTTAATAGTACCTCAGTCAGCCCAGAAAAGACTTGGTCATATCATCAGAAAGAACCACTACCCTCTCCAATTCAATTAATCCAGGTCTTCAGAGCAGATCAAACACAGTCACCTTTACTCAGAACATCTTCCTCTCACCCCTAACATTTTTATGGAAAAATAAAGAAAACGGTAAAAAGTAAACCAGTCAGCTTGGCTTATATCCACGGTATTGTTGTGTTTAATCGGTCATGAAACGCATCACATTCAGTCCGTTAGAAATGAAAAGTGAACTCTGCTTTCTCCTTATAAAGTGACACCCAGGAGGAGCAGGGACAGGAGACAAAAGGACAAGGGACATGACAAAGGCTAGGGGGCACACAGGACAGAGTGTTTGGCGGGAAGGACGCAGAACTTCGGAAAGAGGTTCTTGAGAAAACAAAGACAAGAGCTGCTTTTTTTTTGTTCTTCACTGAAGAAAGTAGCAGCAACAAGCTGCAGCCGGGGATGATGGGAAGGGGGCAGCGGCACAGACGGCCATTGTAACGCTCCATCCATCTCTCACCCCCCCTCTCCCATCGCACCTTTTTCCTCACACCCCCATCTCTCAGCACGAATGAGACAGGCCCTCTAGTCAGCTGACACTGATCACATGACATCCACAAAGAACTCGCTTGGATTGCCCATGGCCATGCGGAAGGATTGGCGTGAGGCTGTCAGCTCAGGGGGCACGGAGGCCAGATCACGGCCGGGGGGGGATCCAGGGGGGGCTAGGGAGACTGCCGACGGGGGCTGTGGGGGCAGGCCAGGAGGGCCGTACGCCAGACTGTGAGCGTGGGAATGGGCGCTGCGCACGCTGTGCTCACTGGGAGGCGCTGCGGAGCGCTCGCTGGGCGCCCTCTCTCGCCGAGGCTCCGACTCACTGCCACTGCCGCCCGATTTGGACTCCGCCGCTCCTGGTCCCGGCTTCGTATCCTTTTTGCTGCCACTGCGATTCGAGCCACTGCTACGGCTCCCTGTGGAGGCAGGAGGAGGACAGTGTCATGGCTGCTGGAGCGCGCGTTAGCCCGCCGACTGGCCGGCCCGCATCTCACCTTCGCTTGGCTGGCTGCCGGCGCTGCCCCCCACTGCGGGAAATCCGTAGGGCTCCAGTGCGGGGTGGGGGCTGTAGGGCTGCGGGATGGGGTACTGGTAGGGAAAAGCCAGGGGCCAGGGCACCGCCCCAGGTACGGGGAGCGGGGCCAGAGTGTCCTGGTCTGACGTTCCACTGGAGCCGTCTTGCTCTTGCAGGGAGAGGTGGGCCATGTCTGGTGAGGAGCATATAAACAGATGGATTACACACGGCTCAGCTTGCTGCAGTGACATCACATGAGCACAAAAAATAAGAGGAGTAAGAGTGAGGGAGCGACAGCTGTCACCCGAGGAGCGGGACAGGTTACTCACTGCCACAAAGGTCCCCAAAGATGTAGTAGCACTGTTCAGAGAAGGTGATCTTGTTGACAGTGTGGCGGATGTAGCCGGCCTTCAGCAGGTTGCTGGCGTATTTGCGCGCCTCGCGGCGGTCGGTGAAGCCCTCCACGTGGCGGAACAGCCAGTCCACCACGTCCGATCCTGGAGCCCAAGACCGGCGTCTCAGTAAACAGCATTTAAGGGACGAGGACTCACTGTGCCTGTGGGGGTGCCGACACACTGTACCGATGAAGGCGTTCGGGATGGTGATCTTCAGCCACATCCTGTCCCGCACTTCCAGCCCTGACTCAGGGGAGGCCATCGCCTTGGCAACAGTTGCCATGTCACTGTGGATGGACAGGTGGAAGTCGTCGAAGCCTGGCAAGAACAGCCAAGCGCGTGCAGAATCAGCCAGGGGAAAGACGGAGGTTTCCGAGGAGAACGTCAGCGGGCCGGCGACTTACGCTCCGTCTCAGGGATGGAGCTGGTGATGGAGGAGCTGGTGGACGTGATGGTGCTCATGGAAGGGCTCATGCCGTAGACGGGGTATGCTCCTGTCATGGCGGCGGTGTGGGACACCCAGGCGGCCGGGTCAATGGGCCGGATTGGCTCACCTGGAAGGAAGGGGGGGGGGGTGAGTGAAGGAGGCGTGGCTGTGATGGTGGGTTTGACTTCAGGGACTAATTTACATCACTGAAAGGGAGCTGGAGCTGTTTGAAAAGGCTGCATGGAGGTGACACTCACTGCGGGGGAGGGTGAAGCAGCCCCTAGGACTTGGGTCCCAGCACTTAGCCACAGTCAGCGTGATGGGACTGCAGCGAGAGAGAGAGAGAGAGGCAGAGCGTCAGCAGGGCGCCCCCTGCTGCCAGGACTATGGCCACCCCCACCCCCACCCCCGGCACTCACCCCGGCTTGTGCACTATCTCCCGCAGTACCCTCACCGCGTCGTCGTTGCTCATGTTCTCGAAGTTAATGTCATTCACCTGGGGAGGGTATCGGAATAGCGAGGGCTGTGACGGTGGATGGCTCTGTGACACACACCCCCCCCTCCCCATGCATGCACACACACCTGCAGGAGCATGTCCCCGGGCTCGATGCGGCCGTCCGCCGCCACCGCTCCCCCCTTCATGATGGAGCCGATGTAGATGCCCCCGTCTCCTCGTTCGTTGCTCTGCCCCACGATGCTGATGCCCAGGAAGTTGTACTTCTCTGCAGAGACCCAGCGCCCTGCTCACTCACTCACAGTGCTTTCAGTCAATTATTCTCCTCATACGACAGTCTATGACAGACTTGTGCCTGCCTCTTGCAATTCCACTCCAGGACACAAGGTGTCAGCACACTTCAAGGGACTGACTGTGCGGGAAAGTGAGTCCACAGCCTTTAACATTTATTGTTCAGTGATTGTTTCAGACAGCGTTTAACAGCACTGCCCCTTAGAGCTTAAGACGCTTACCCATGTTTAAGGTGACTGTGATGATGTTCAGAGACATGGTGGAATCAGTGATGCTGCTGAAGGACGATGACTAGAAAGAGAGAGAGGAATGAGTGGGCGGGCCCATGCAAGCACCAAACACGCCCCCTCCTCTCTGATTGGCCCTTCATGCTCTTACCCTTTCCATGCGGGGGGTTTTGGGTTTCCGCCGCCGACGGCGATGCCGCCGCATCAGGCGGGAGGAGCTGCTCTGTTCAGTGGAGCTGCTGAACCTGGAGCGGGGGGGGGGATGGGGGTACCGTGTGAGAGCGGGCGACCAGGTGCCAGCGGGTGGCTGTTAGCGGATCGCCCGCATTCACCTGCTGGCTGCGTCCTCCTCCTCCGAGTCCACGAAGCTGGTGGTGTCCAGCTCACTGCTCATCAGGGTGGAGGAGCTCTCATAGCCCCCCATCTCCGCCCGCTGCGAGTGTCCATTCATGCGACCACCTGGAGTGCGGGGGGCAGGGTTTAAAACTCAGATACAGTTCCAGTTAATTGGATACAACTACCAATAGAATGGTTCATTTCTACTATTATCTAAATTTTAGAATAATTATACAAAGCATCAAAATTCCGTGGGATGGGACTCAGAAGGTTCCTGGTTCAAATCCCATGTTCAGCACAGAGATCGCACCATTGGGCCCTTAAGCAAGGCCCTTAACCCCAATTGTTCCAGGGACTGGCTGACCCTGGTATCTCCTCTACCCTAGTTTCATAAGATGGCCTTCTGGAATGCTTCCCCAACTGTCTTTGGCTTGGCATGTCGAAACGTTTGACTATAACTGCATGTATAGAAGTAATTAAAGAAGCGGAAAGCGGAGACCGCGGACAGCCCCACCCAGCGTGCTCACCCGTGTCCCTCCGGCGAGGCCTCTCCCGCTCTCGCCGCACGCACGCCACCGAGTCCGTCTCTGTCTCATTGTCCAGGTTGTCCTGACTGGCTGCAGCATTGGCACTGGGGGCAGGGCAGGGTGGGTATCAATCAGCAAGCTGCCTTTATTAAGATCCAGTTACTGTACAAACCCTTTGATACACACAGGTCACAGCACCAGGATTACCAGACGCCTTAGTGCTGAGCTTTTCCAACAAGGCTAGTCTGCAGCTGTATTCCAGATTTGCATAAAGCACTGTCATTCTTCCCATAAACGCTCGCATACCGCACATATAAATTATGGGATCAAGTCCCAATCTGCTTGGCAGGTGTATAAAATGTCCAGTTAGTCCAACAAGCAGCTCTGCATTTTCAGTCTGTAGCCATTAATATTCCAAGTGACTATATATAGGATTTTCCATCTAAAATTAATGAAATGGCACAACAAAAATATCACGTGTTTAAATTATATATCACCTTAATGTATTTCAGTTTATACGAGAATCTCATCACGTTGCAAGCTTCCAAATTACGCACTTCCATCCTGCTCCTGCTTTAATACGAGAACCGCAACCCCCCCCCCCCCCAGTCATGACACTGAAGATCTTTCTTTGGGTTGCGGTGGGAAAAAAAACAAGCAGAATAAAACAATCCAGGGATCTGAGGTCTGCTTTGGTCTCATTCGGACATACAGACGCTCCTCTACTTGCGAACGAGATACGTCCCAAACAGCCGCTTCGTAACTTGGAATGTTCGTAAGTCGTTATTCAACATCATTTTAAGGTTATACGCAAGTACAAAGAACTAGGATGCTGGGAGTACGCCAGCTACGCTGCTGCGCGGCGGGAGTAGCGGCCAGAAGGCGTACTAGGCGTAACTGGCGTGCAGGAAAAAAAAAATTGATGTTGCGGACAGGAAACGGGAGCCCAAAGAACACAGTTTGGACTTACAGTCCTCTTCGTTCGTATGTCTGAAAGTTCGAAAGTAGAGGACCGTCTGTACTGCGATGTGACAGGCCGAGCAAGCTGCCGCTGCAGTGTTCACACTTCTCCACTAGAGGGATAGATGGTGCATGCTTAGCACAGGAGAACTGGACCTGCCCAGACCCTTCACAACGGACATTGGCAAGTAGACAGGAGCCAGACACAGCGCAGCCTGTGGCAGACCTGTGCTGCAGGATGGATGGAGATGGGACTACTGTAGTCAGGGGACATATATATATACGCAGAAGCGGAAAACACTGACTGGAACGATGGAGGCCTGGAGTCCCCGATGCCCCCGGTGCGCTCCAAGGGAGGGGGCAGGTCCAATTGGCTGTCAGCACACACAGAGCCACCGTCTGACTGTGCACCATCCGCAGACACCAGCTGAGCACAGAGAGAACATGACACAGTGAGGCGGAGCAGCACGGTCTCACACAGCGCGCAAGGAGCACCGAACACACCCATGCCTGTACTGACAAGGATATGAGGGTACGGCTCCGTAGACCGAGTGGCCAAAGGCAGACCGGAAGCAGGGTGGTCATAACCATTATGACAGAACACACAAAGAAATATGTGCAAAATACCAAAAAAACTCATGTTAAGGTCAGTAAAGACAGACAAGCCGCAGGAGCAGAGCTGTGCGGACATTCAGATGGGGTGAAGCGGGGGGCCACGTGCTATTCAGCTAGCAAGCAACGGGACTTTGCCACTTTTGCCTGATTTGATCTTCTTGTCAGCCTGGGATATTTATGGAGCTTTCACGCAGATCCTATGACTGCAGTGCAGTAATTTAATCTGGCTTTAAAGATGACTGCTCCCTCTTCACACAGTATCAAGGCACTTACTGGGGACCAGACCTAGCAGCAAAGCGCACATTCTGGACACCAGGGGTCACCAGTTTTCTGCTTCAGAATCCTGAAGGACTAGTATGATAGGTAACATCTTTTTAATCCTTTTATCTAATCCCCCCGTGTTAATGTTTTGAATATGGGTTTTTATTCTTTTTAAATTGTGCATACCTGGATTGTTTTCTTATGTTCTATGTTGTCTGTGAATGTATGCACCAGTACTGCCAGAGCAAATTCCCAGTACATGTAGTTGTACCTGGCCAGTAAACTGATTCTTATGCTATGTTATGTAGGCCCACCAGCCCACACAGACTTCAAAAGTACACAAATAGTGGTGACCAGCAGAGGGCGCTCACCCAGCACACGACTCGGCCATTGAAGCAAGGCAGCCTGGCGTTGTCATCGGAGATCTCCTCCTTCACCACCCTGAGGAATGGACAGATAAGTCACACTTCTCCCACCCACACACACACGCACGCTTGTGTTTCTTACCACCAACACAGTGGATTCACACAAACAAAGGAAATAAACATCACTCACATTATAAACAGACAGTCCTGTCAGTCAGGCAGTCAAACCCCCAGTCACTCTCAGAAGAGGCACCGCCCCCAAGCTCAATGCCAATGGGGGACACAGAATAATGGCGCTCATTAAAACACTGGCCAATATGGCGACATGTAACTGGATCATTATTCAAATGCTTTATATTTTTAATAGATTCCAATACTGTAGAAAATATGAAACAGGTTCATCAAGTCAGAGTGTGTCTTTGGTTATCAGGAGACACATGGACAAAACATGCTCCCCCCCCCCCACACACACACACACACACACACACAAACACACATACAGAGGAAGCCACCCTTACACATGGGACACACACAGGAAGCAGCCATATTCATTGTCCCACCATGTTGCCATAAAAAAAACAGAGGCACCCTTTAGCCAGACAGCCTGCAGGAAACGCGCCCCTCCTGTCAGGTGACCCTGTCAGTGTCCAATCAGACCTGATTGCTAAACCTCCCAACAGTGCGCAGGAGCGACATGGGAGAAGACATTAAAAAAATAAATACCATGTGGACAGAAGCAGGGCCTCGCCCTACATTCTGCAAAATATCTCCCAAGTGAGAAAAAGATAGGAGGAACCCCTGGCTTCCCTCTATTCATTCTGTTCTCTTTGCCATGACCATGCTGGCTTTGAGTTCATGAAACAATGTTACAGTAAATCATGTGCCTAAATGATAAACATATGAAAGCAGTCAGCTGATGACACAGTGCCTTCAAAATGATCTGTATTTGCTTCAGAAAGAGGAGCAGCCCGCGGCTTCACTACTCCAGCTTCAGCCAGCCATAACTTTGCGTGAAGAGTGCTCACACTGCAGTTCTTTCCAGTCCAAAAGCACGTGGTTTAGCTGTGTGTCTGCGGCTGTACATCGCCTGCCCTCTGCATGTCCCCTATGCACCCAGGGTGTTCCCAGCCTTGTGTTTTCTGAGGTAGGCTTCATGTGACCCTATGTTGAAATCAGTTATATTGTAGACTACAGCTCGAGTCACATCAACCCCCTCCCAATGGGGGAGTAAACCACCTGACCACTAACTAAACAAGGTCCTGTAAGGTGTAAATGCTGACATTACCCAGGCCAGCATTATGCAGGAACAAAGGCAAGTGGGGTCCTGTTTTAAGGCAAGCACACTTTCCACAGTTAGGGCACCTAAGCAGGATCTCTTACTCTCTCTCTCTTGCTCACTCACACACACCCAGAAAATACAGGGGCAAAAAAAGTAGGTCAGCCTCCTTAAAGGAAGCATTATTAAAGCAAAGACGAGGGAGTCAGTCACTGTCAGGAAACCCAAGTGTTGCTGCAGAAGACGACCCAATCTGTTCCCAAAGACAACCCACCGGCCCTCCACTACCGGCCACCAAAGACTGCTGCCTGAAACCAGTCAGTGCATACCCCCAGAAACACAGGGGTGCCCAGCTTCAGGAACATCTGCTGGAGTGGAGGAAGAGAGCTTGAGATTCCGCACCCCGGAGAGCCTACTCTCCTCCACTGTCCCTCACAAACGAGCCCAGAGACAGTGGCTGAGCCAACCAGTGAAGACTCCACTTTGTCAGCAAAAGGTGCACACACAGAGCCCTTTACTCCCTAATCCAGTGAAGCAAGGGACTTATTCATGGAAATCCACCTTTAAAATTACCCGTGCAGTTTAATTTGGTTTTCTGTAGTCCATAATCGGTAATTACCCCAAATTCTGCGTAGAGGCAAATGGTATGGGTGTGTTTACGGGAGAGAGAGGACACGGCTTGTGTGTTAAGGACGATTAATAGGAGAGCTCTGGTCATTGTTTACATCTACGTCGGGGGGGGGTGGGGGTTGTGTTCTGTAAAGGAAAAGTAAGAAGTGAAATGACAGCTTTTTGTTTGGCTTCGTTATCATAACAATGTAGGACACCCCCCGATACCCTCCTCGGAAAGCGGCCTGACAGCGTCCGGGTCCGAAGTGCATCGGCCCGGTTGACGGGACGGGATAAAGTGCTGTCCACTTTAGTCTTTATTCCCGTTTGAGATACTGACAGATACAGGGCCCGGGGGCCGCCAGCCCGTCCGCAGTGATCCGGACAAAACGGAACCTGCCTGTGAGAAACCCACAGGACAAAAGGACCGCTCGGCCCTCCGCCCCCCCCGTCCGCCATTTTCACTCTTAAGCCCGGCCTGCAGTTCGGCCGAAATCCGAGGGCCCGGGGCGGCTAGCAGACGGGGGCAGAGCTCCGGAACAACCCTGCTGACTGAGCCGGACCTGGTCCGCCCCGGTGTAAAGCACCTACGGCAGCTGCCCTTCCCCGGCCCGTCTCAGTGTCCCGGGCCAACCCGCCCCCCCCGCAGAAGCAGCCTTTATTTCTGCTTTACCATTTTATTACAAAAAGCTGAATCGTCAGTAATCGCTGCCAGGATTCCCCGCATTTGTAAAATGGAGGCAGGACAAAAGCGGCATATTATTTTCCAGTGAGCGAAGGAGTGTCGCGACCCGCGTCCCCCCAGCTCGGCTCCCGCAGGCCCGGGCCCCCCTCCGGCCCGGCGTCTGTCCCGCATCTGCTGTGCCCGCCGTCCCGGGCCGGGGCGCCCCGCGTCGGACAAAGACGGGACGCGGTCTTACCCGAAATCATCGTCCATGGACTTGAAGAAGAATTTGTAGTTGGGCTTGTTAAGGACATTTTTAAAGTCCGCCAGAGTGACCCGGTCGGCCGCGACGGGCAGCTTCACCAGGTAGGGGGTCTCCTGCTCGTCGAGGTGGTAGATAATTTTTGTTTCCCCCATGGCGGCTTGCTGGGGAGGCGCAGGCCCGGCGCATTCAGCCCAGGGTGGCGGCAGTCGGCAGCCCGGCGCCGGTTCCTGCTCAGCTTCACCGCCGCCGGCCTCCTTCTCTCCAGTTTAGCCAAAGCACTGCCTCCGCGTCTCTTTGTCTCCGCCGCGGTGGAGGAGGGACGCTCTATTCCCCAGGCGGCGGTCCGGCGGCGGGCTCTGCCTGCCCCTCTCCCCCAGCAGCTGTCTGTCCGTCAGTCTTCAGCTCTGCGAGTCTTCCCAGGAACTCCCTCTACAGGCGGAGGAGGAAACGCGCAGCGACCCGGTCCGCTTCGGTTGGGGCCGGTTCGGGAGAACCACGCCGACCCGCGGTGGGAGACTCCGCTACAGACTGTCAGGGATCGCTGCAGGCGAAGACACCCGGCTCTGACTGACACGGTGCGGTCTCACGGACTCGTGGCGCTGGCGATTTTGGACAGAACCACGCAGAGCTTTGGAAAGCATCGACTCTCCCGTGCTGACCCCTTGGAGCCGGGGGGGATGGGTCCCTGTGCTCCCTTGCCTTAACGTTACGGCTGAACGGAGTGACTGCGCCCCCTGCCGGACACGCACGGCCGGGCCCCCTTCTCTTCACTCCAATCCCCAACTCGACCGGTTCGAAAAGGCAATCGGTCATTGTGAATTCAGTAATATCGACAGTACCGGACCGCCAGGACAGGCCACTCTGTTTCGCAGAGCAACATCATTCCGTATAATTCACAGGCATAATGACATCTGGGTTATATAAAAAAAAAGAAAGAAACTCTTCTTTTTAAACAAACTGCCTCTGCCATGTCCTCCAGCAATGGTGTCGCCAGATCTCGATTAAACGTGCTGGAACATTAAATCGCCTTAGACAGGGGTGACCAATTTTATCTAGAAAGGGCCGCTGGGTATTCAGGTTTTCGCTGCAACTCCCTAATTGATTACTAATTAGTGTACTGATTGGCTGAAGAATCCTCACACTTGGGTTTGGACAGCTGACCTAAAGATTACCCCAAAAACCATACACACTAGCCCTTTGCGGATAAGATTGGCCACCCTTGGCTTGCACGGATGTTGTGCTGAATGCAGACTGATACCCGTCCAGCTTTGAGGTAGCGTCACTTGCGCAAAGAGCAGCCGCCCTCGGTGTTAATCACCCCAAATGCATACGCTCTGTTAGCTTGTGGCTTGTCTGCCACTCATGCTAATAGGAGAGATATACGATCTCATTGCACAAGCCTCTGTCTGTGCTGGGAGAAGGGCACAGACGATGGACAGTGTGTTTGTGTAGAGATATCACACATGGCGCCCAATACACGGCAATCCTGTTTAATTATATGAACACAGCCAAAACGTGCTGGTGTTGCCCTTTGTGCAAATCAACAAGAGATGGACCGGAGGATCCTCAGGCTGGGGGGGGGGGGTTAGTAGCACAGCAGCTCAATATAACCTTCATTCCTGACATTATTCCACAAAAGAAACAGAATTAAGGACATTACTGGATTCAGAAGCTTTCACTTTCTCCTAATATAACTTGACTCCGCTCTCCCCCATCATAAAAAGCTACATTTTCATCATCCACTCAATTGCCATGTGACACAGGAGGCCTGTGCTTACAGGAGAACAGGAGCGTAGCTTCACAGTGATCTGGGTCCAAAAGGCACTAAGGTGGTCAGAATTCCGTGGCTTGATCCCCATGTTAATATACATCAATGTTCTAGTTACCCAAGGCACAGTGTAGTGTTTACCAGAAGAAAAGGGTCAGTCAATTTCTTTTAGCTAAAACTGCCATGTATGAAGATCCCCTGCTAGACTGAAGTACCATAATTGCCACCTCCCTCCACCCTTAACAACAGACTGTAAAGTGGTCCATGACACTCGGTCCCATTCTATAACAGGAAGCCCACGTCCTAATAGCAGCACGGCCAGAGGTGGAAATTTCAGGTCCTGAACGTAAAAATCCAGACCATGATTTTGTTCCAACCAATCAGTTGAGTACTCTGTGACTGTGGCTCTTTATACTCAACTGGTTGGTTGAAACAAAATTTTGATCTGGATTTGTACTTTCTGAACATGAGCTTTCCACTCCTGGGCATGACCCAGCATAACACAGCACACACACTCTCTCCAGGGACTGTGACCAAACACGTGTGATAAGGAAACCCAGAGGAGCTTTAGGGTTTAGCCTACGAGTGTCAGGTACAGAGCAATAAATAAAGGAGGACGAGTCTGTGTCACTATTCTGGTCCAGTTTCATCCAATCAGGATTCCCGGTCCAGGACACATGACCAGGTCTTCTGTCAGGCAGACACGTTGACGTTTCGCAAGGAGATGCAGCCCGTGCTGGGCATGTCCGTGGGGGTGGGGGTTGGTGCAGGGGAGGTGACGGGGAGCAAAGGCAAAGGAGTCTCACTGGGAGGGGTGCTGCTCTGGAACAGGATCTGCTGCAGGGTTCGACGCAGGTTGGGGTGCATTCTGGCCTGAGTCTGAGAGAAGACCTCCGCAGCGAAGCATTTCATCACCCCAGCACAGAGATCCTCGTACAGCGGGACCGTGTACATACGGGAGGTCTGGGGGGGGGGGGGGGGGTGAAGTAGAGCTCATCAGAATTGAGTTTTCCATCATCACACATTCATGATTATAGATTATCCTAGTTATTACTGTGGATAAGAGCTCCTGCTAGCCAATGCAGTAAATCAGCCAAGCTGGGAAGCACTTTCAGCTACCGTATTAAACATGCACACCACGCGACATCATACATAACACGTGTGACACACTTCAAGAGTCTGTGGCCGTCTCCCTTACATGTTTGTGCAGAAAGCTACGGACCCGGGGCAGGTCTGGGTAGAACCTGTTCCGCACCACAATCTGCAGCCAGCGAATTTGCACCTCGGCATTCATGCCGTCCAATAGGGCAGAGTAGCAGCACGATAGGTGGGTCATCACTTCTGAGGGACACACACGACAGCCAATCACAGATGAGGAAGGCCGGCACAGCACGCATGTCCACTGAACATGATCATTTTTGCCAGCGCGGGGGGGGTCAGTAGAGGGATACAAACATGTACAGGGGAGGGGCAACAGAGGAGAAGTGGAACATGGCTTTGGGGTGTACCTTGAGGAAGGGGGGATCGGTCCAAGAGGCGGTCCAGGAAGAGCACTGTCTGAAAGGTGCTCCAGGAGGACAGGTCAAAGCTGGCGATGGCTTGGGGTTCGGGGACCTCCTCCCCCCAAAGTTCACACAGGCACTGCACAGGCTCTGTGAGAATCGCCCCCGCGGAGAGGTCCGGCTCGTAGAGAGGGGGGCCACATTCATTCAGCCAGCGGTCAAAGTCCAACCCTATAGTGAGACAGAGAACTGTCACACCGTGACCATCTCACTCACCATCATCTCACATCTTCCAGGCACTCGGGCCCCAGGCTCACCTTCCCTCTCCTTCAGCTGGGGGAAGAAACCCAGGAAGAGGTTGAGCAGGTCCTCTGCCACCACGCTGCAGAACTGGAACTGCTGAATGTAGCTCTGCGAGGAGGAAAGGAAGCAGCTAGTGAGGAATGAAGGGGAGAAGAGAGCGACTGGTGTATGTACAGTGTGTGTGTGTGTGTGTGTGTGTGTGTGTCACTTACCCTCAGGAAGCTGTCAAAGCTCTGTATGTCCCCACACAGGTGAGACAAGTAGGACACAAAGCAAAAGCCTTTTTCATACGTGAAGAGGTTCATCAAGCTGCTAGGGTTCACTCCTAAGAAAATAGACAGGCTAATATGTTTATCATTATTTAAGACACGGAGACACTTGTCACATGACCTGGTATTTTATTGGGGCATTCCTGTGTACTGAAAGGCTTCTCCTAGGAATTGGACTATGCCCCCTGCTGCCCACACTGCACATGGACACCCGTCGGCTGAAATACCTGGTTCACACTTGACCTGCAGCTTGCTCATTGGGTTGGTGTCTCCTAGAAGCCTCATTTGCCGGTGCAGAGCGTCCAGACGGAACATGGTCTCCAGACAGGTGAAAGCCTCACCTGAGGAGCACAGACGGGTCAGACGGGATAGGGCCGTTCCTGAGAACCTCAGCACTGACGCGCCCTGTGCATACCGTAGGCCTCGGTGGTGATGCGTCTCTGGGCATATGTGGCCAGTCCTTCGCTGAGCCACATCTCCTCCCACGTGGCGTTGGTCACGGCATTGCCGAACCAGCCGTGGGCGATCTCATGGATGACGTCGATCAGGAGGAACTCGTGGCTCTCCAGGATGGAGGAGATGATGAAAGTTAGGCAGGGGTTCTCCATGGCAACGACAGGGAAGGAGGGTGGCAAAAACACGATGTCATACCTGGGGGGGCTTTGTGGGCAACCTGTGTGTGTGTGTGTGTGTGTGTGTGTGTGTGTGTGATGGGGGGGGGGGGGGGGGGGGGGGGTAGCGGCGTGTAGAGCATGAGAAGCGCAGGAGCAGTGACCAAAACAAACCACAGTAAAGTAAGAGGCACCTAACTGGGAGAAAAGTGTGCATGTAAAAGCTGACTCTCAGTGTCTACTATATTTGTGTGAGAAATCAGTCAGTGTCCATTAGAGTAGAACATGTAATCCGTTTCCATAATCGCTTATTTGGCAAACGCTTTTATCCAAAGAGACGCAAGGTGCTTTCCCATCTCAGGAACCAGAACCTTTTTCTGCCACCAGGAACTTCTGTTGTGTTCCCACCGCAGGAACTGGTTCCTTGGATATAGTTCCTTTATTTTCCCTATTTTTTTTTAGTCCCTACCCCAGACTAGGTACTTTTCGCTCGACCAAGAACTATTATGTGGGGCTTCTAGCGATAAAATGATTGGTTGTCTCAAAGCACTGGCTCTAACTTGGAAGTTACAGAGAAGTGCGGGGAAAATAGATATAAGTAATGGAGCAGAAACTAAGCAAATGGAATTATTTTTGTATCTCAGTTACATTAAATGCATTAATGAATAGCTTCTCTGCTTGCATCTCCATATTTCTGCATAGGAAAGTTCGATCAGTGACCGGCAAGCTTCTAATATCACTGATGCCAGCAGTGCAACTTGCCTGCGTTTATTAGCGAGACGACATTACATCGGTTTTTTTTCATTCTCTGGAAAATGAAAAATCAATCTGCTGGCCAGATTTAATAATGAATTAGAAACGTGTTGCAGGCTATATAATTTTTTTTAAAATAAAACTACAATTTGTCCCATATTTTCAGACCATACGATCGATCTGCCCAAATGACCAAGAAAACTACTAACAATACTTATTTCTCCGTTGTTTTGGAGTGATGGTGCAGTTTCATATGAAACTATGTATAAAGTTTACCCTACCTTTTTTGTGTCTCCTACGCTTATTTAACATAAAGGTCGCAGCTCCTGTTGTGTGGTGGGAAAGCAACACACGTGAAAGTGGCCAAGAACTACAAAAGTTCCCAGTCGAGATGGCCCAGGAACTCAGAACTAGGAACTAGACTCCTGAACTTTAGTGAGAAAGCACCTACAGTCGTGGCCAAAGGTTTTTCAGAATGACAAAAATATTAATTTTGACAAAAGTGTGCTGCCTCAGTTTTTATGATGGCAATTTGCAAATGTTATGAAGAGTGATCAGATGAATTGCAATTAATTGCCATCTTTGCTGAGAAAATAAACTTAATCCCAAAAATCCCATTTCCACTGTATTCCAGCCCTGACAGAAAGGGACATTGCTGCTAGTAAGATTTATCAGATCATCAAGAACTTCAAGGAGAGAGGTTCAGTTGTTGTGAAGAAGGCTTCAGGGAGCCCAAGAAAGTCCAGCAAGCACCAAGACCGTCTCCCAAAGTTGATTCAGCTGTGGGATCGGGGCACCACCAGTGCAGAGCTTGCTCAGGAATGGCAGCAGGCAGGTGTGAGTGCATCTGCACGCACAGTGAGGCGAAGACGTTTGGAGGATGGCCTGGTGTCAAGAAGGGCAGCAAAGAAGCCACTTCTCTCCAAGAAAAACATCAGTCCTGAGTCATGAAAACAGTAAAGCATCCAGAGACCATTCATGTGTGGGGCTGCTTCTCAGCCAAGGGAGTGGGCTCACTCACAATTGTCTATGAACACAGCCATGAATAAGGAATGAGAGCAACTTCTCCCAACCATCCAAGAACAGTTTGGTGAGGAACATGCCTTTTCCAGCATGATGGAGCACCATAAGCCATAAGGCACAAGTGATAACTAAGTGGCTCGGGGAACAAAACATCGACTTTGGGTCCATGGCCAGGAAACTCCCCAGACCATAATCTCATTGAGAACTTGTGGTCAATCCTCAAGAGGCGGGTGGACAAACAAAAATCCACAAATTCTGACAAACTCCAAGCATTGATTATGCAAGAATGGGCTGCTATCAGTCAGGATTTGGCCCAGAAGTTGACTGACAGCACGGCAGGGCGAATTGCAGAGGTCTTGAAAAATAAGGGCTAACAATGCAAATATGGACTCTTTGCATAATTGCCAATAAAAGCCTTTGACACTTATGAAATGATTGTAATTATACTTCAGTATACCATAGAAACATGACAAAAAGATCTACACTTTGTGAAAAGTTCTCAAAACTTTTGGCCACGACTATATACATTTTTGAAAAAGCAGCCCCTTGAGTGACTGGGGGTTAAGGGCCTAACAGAGATCTGCTGATGCTGCATTCCAATTCTCGGAGGTCAGAAGTCAGAGCTGGGAATGATGGGAATGCCTTCTGAATCAGACCCCGGTTCTAGCACAGTTCATTCTTAGCTATTGTTAAATATATAAGTTGATAACGCGCATACAAAAACAGTAGCAACATGTGCACAGATAGCAGTTCGACAGTACTGTGCGTACGACCGATTTAATGAGCCACAAATTATATGTAAGTGCTAATAAACAGCATATTGCTACAGATTTCCCTTCTGTTAATGAAGGGCACAGCCAACCTGAATTCTGAGTTCGGGGTTGCGGAGGTTCCTCTGACTTTCTGAATTGAAACTCTGACTCCAGGGGCTGTTCCAGCTGAAATTTCCAACTAAGAACTCAGAATTTCTGACTTCGGAGCTCAAAGCGTACCTAGCATGACCCAGGGATTTGAACCGGCGACCTTCTGATTACAGGCACAGCGTCCTACCCACTAAGTCACACATGACCCCCATTAATGTTTCCATTACAAAGTGTTTGTGTGTCCTCTCGCTCTTAGTGTCTGTTAAAGTGTATGTGTGAAATCTGACCCTCAAGTAAAGCCACGTCAAAATACAAACCAGATAATCAGTGCTTTGACTAGTGTTGAGGATCCTGTTATTAGCGACACTCATGGGAGATCTTGAATCCGAGGCATCAGTCTCAGTTGTACATTAGTCACTAACATCTGGTACTCAGCTGGATTGGGAGACGGGACCCAGACCTAACAGCATCCTCACCTGCCCCAGACATAGGGTCCGAACAGCCCCTCCGCCACGGCCAGCCAGCGCTCCACACTGCCCCCTAGCTTGCTGACAGCACTAGTGAGGATGCAGGGCTCTGCCCACACACGGCTCCTAGGGGACAAGAGAGGGGACATTTGTCCTGCTACTCATTTTCCCAAGGGGTCCTTGAACAGCCCTGTAACCATGGCGATGCCCTCTCTGGAGCCAGTTGCCACCATGCCAACTGTTCCACTGGTTAACTCTGAGTGACTCTTTCCACTGATCTCCTACCCCTGGGAAAAGAACCACTAGGACCGACTATCGCCATGACAACCCCCCTCCCGTCTCACCGGGGGCCAATGTCGGCTGGCTGCAGATCTCCTGCCACCAAGGCAACCAGATAGGCCGGGACAGGGAACTCCATGGAAAACTGGAACGCCCTGTCCTGCTCTGAGTAGGCACTGTGTGAGGAACTCATAAGCACCGTCACTCCCTCGGGAACCTGCAGGGGGAGCTAGTGGTCACATTTCATCCAGCTGACACACAGAGCTGCATTTTAAGAGCATATGAAGGGCAGCCTTCTTCGTGGCTGGGGGTCCATGGCAGAGTCTAAAAAAAGCTGGGAATCTGGCCCCATACACCAGTAATCTGCATGCAGCCATAGCACCCCAAGCCAAACCCAACCCATAATACAAGCAGTTTAAACAATGCACTCAGAAAGCCTGACAAAGGGGCAAGGGGTGATGTTTAGGCCACATAGAGCGATGCACAGGCATGTTTCTCATGTGTGGGAATGCTACAAAGAGACGGTGTGTTACTGACAACACCGAGCAGAGGAGACCTGCTGGACACACCAGCACGCGAAAAGGACAGCGCCCGTCAGGGCAGGACATACGTGGACCGTGGCGGAGTAGGTGCTCTTGACAGCCGGTGTGTCGAAGCAGGGGAAGAAGGAGCGGTTACACACGGAGTGGCCCTGTGTGAAGACCAGCGGGCTCGTCTGCCCCGATGTCAGCCCCGCATCCAGCCACCATATCTGCAAAAGGGGGGGGAGAGTTGCGGGTGAGGTCACAGTCAGAGCAGATCCGGAGTTTAATGGAGGGTACAGGACCGGATCCATGGTCTGGATAGCAGATCGGGCAGGGAGATGTGGGTGGGATGTACAGCCAGCAGCATCTCTCTCTCGCTCTCACACTCCCACACAGCACTGGATCAATCACATGAGGGTCTGGGGGGGGAGGCAGAACTCAGGTCTCAGCATCAGACACACACTCCAGTTTGGGACAACGTACAGATCCGTACCAAGGGGCAGCCGAGCTCCCGTGAATATAATTACCGTCGATATAATCACTATTAACATGATTACGATTAGCATTATGTTCAATATCATAATAATCGACACCATGACAGCCCTACCGCTGGTCCGTCCGTCGTGGTATACCGGACCGTGATCTGTAAAGTCCGCCGCGGTCGAACCACGGCAGCCGGCAGGCTGATGATTAGAGACGAGCCGTAGTCGGTAAAGGGGTCCAGCCGGTAAGTGAGCGACAGGCAGCGGTCCGGAGAGCCGGCGGCCCCGGGCACCGTACAGTCTATGGAGTGGACCAGCAGGGACGGGTGCGCGTCCAGCACCAGCGTCTGCACCCCGGCCTGCAGCGGCACCAGCTCCAGCACCTGCCGGCCCGACATCTCCTTGGCGGCGAAGTCCAGCCGGAGGTCCAGGTGGAAGTGGCGGAGCCTGAAGCTGTGGAAGTTGGACGCCGAGGCGACATCAACCCGCTGGCAACGTTCCGGACACGGACTCGGGCCGCCCTCCACCGGCGCCTTCCGGCAGCAGCACAGGGCCGGGCGCTGCAGGTCGGACATGGCGACTCCGGACGGGAGGATTAAATTAATACTAAAAGTTCAATTAAATTAAAAATAAAAGTCGGGAAAGCGCGACGAGGAGCGGCAGGCGGCATGGAGGCAGCTAGCCGGCTAACCCGCTAGTCAGTCTCTGCGGTCGTAACCGGAGCCAGACGTGCCGAACAGGACGAAGTCAACATTATACTGAATTAAAAAGAGAAACCGGAGCGTGAGGGAAGACGGGAAAATCCGCGTAAAGTCCGCCGGAGCCAAAGTCCAAATTGCGCATCGCGCTCCGTCCAGGGAAAGAGGATCCAGCGCCGGGGGAGACGAGACGAGAGAGCCGGAGAAAAACGGAGGAAAAAAGGAGGAAAACAGGACAAGAAGAGAGGCAGAAACGAAAGAAGCCGAGCGCAGGGACTCCAGCCGAAAACAGGAAGTGAAAACGGAGGAAATCACTCCGGGAGAAAAGTTTTCGGGCTGAAGGGGGCGCTATGGAGGCGGTCTGGGGTCCGGCGGCGGCCAAAGCGATTTACCTCGGCTACACCGGGCAGACCGGCGGCGTACCGACAAGAAGCCGGGCGCTTCGGCTGCTGATAAACGGTGTGAGGGCAGCCGAGGGGCCGCTTCCTCTTTCTCCCCGGGATCCCCGCACACATTCACACGCCCGGTGCTGCTGGCCCTGTACGGCGGAGCGCCATCACGGGAATCGGCTTAGGTCTCTCCACCATTTTCAACTCTAACTTCAGGCGTATTGGGTCGGATGGACATGGTGTTCCGTACACGTGTTGTCTGGGGCTAGAAGCTGCTCCCGACTCTGTCACATGAGTAAGAGGGACCGTGAAGGGCAGCGTCGTGAGGACAGTCGGAGAATGTCACCCAGTGCGGCGGGCAGCCATCTGCCCGCGTTTGTTGCCGTACTGACTTTCTTTGCGTGTGTTTATGAAGATCTGTGCTACTTTGTGCACGATTTTTTCCAAGTTTATGTGACTCACTATGTTCCGGTGAATGATTGTGTCAGATTCGTGTGCAGGGCTGTGAATACATCTCTGCTGAATTCTCTTGATCAAACACACAAGTGCAAATGTATCCATAAAATAGGTTTATTAACATATCTTAAAGAGACATCTGCTCCCTTCTTGCCTCTTCAATGCGCTTAACGCATCATGCTAAGGCAATAAAACTAGGAAAAACACAGAGACACACACGCGTGTGCACACACACGCACTGTAAGGTCCATCAGAGGGCTGTTGTTACAGCAGTTTCCCAGGCTAAAGCCTGGTAGCAGATAGCAGCCCTGGATTAAGGTCCTGACATGACACACTTTTAGAGAGCCCTAACCCACCAGCTGGGGGAGCTCTAGAACAGGGGTGTCAAACTCCAGTCCTGGGGGGCTGGAGCCCTGCGTGGCTTAGTTTTTTCCCTGTCGCACCACAAATGATTCAGCTCAAGAGCTGTGTATTAATTAGCTCAAGGAAGTGCAAGGAGGTGAATCAGGTGTGTTTTGGGGAAACCCAAAACTGCGTAGGGGTCTGGCCCCCCAGGACTGGAGTTTCATACCCCTGCCTTAGAATAAGCAGGCTATATCCTTCCAGCAGCTAATTTGAAATGTGCGTGGAGCTGAAGGAACACAGGTTTGTGTGACTTAACCACCTGAACAACACCTCTGGGCATGTGCGCAAATCACCCTAGCCAGGGTCCATGGTTTGAGTCACATGACAACAGCATCACAGAGCTCTGAACACCATTAAATCGTTGAACGGTTTAAGATCAGACTACAATGACAGGTACACACATATGAAAATATACTAACATGTCATACAGTGATGTTTTACATACAAAGTCAGTACAAAATAAACCCAGCATACATCCTCTCCACAGTAAATATGTGCATATAGATAGATATCCTAAAAAACAGACCCTTTTAAATGATTATAGCTACACATGTAAAGCTCTATTGTTCAGTACCAGTTGATCCCTGACCATCTGAGCCAAGAAAGATTTCTGAGCAGGCTTCTCCCAGGACGGCCCCAGCACACGTCCAAGGGCCTCACCAAGCTCAGCACAGCACCCCTGACTAGCAGTGCCTTGTACTGCAGGTGTGCATACAGGTGTGCAGTCAGAGCTGAGGCCAGGGCTGGAGCATCTGGGAGGGCGAGGAGGGGACTCTGAGCCCTCTCCAGCGCGGGTCTCCACCCGACGTCAGTCTTAGCCTCTCACGGAGATCTTGTTCTCCACCGCTGCCAGCATGGCACAGAATCGAGAATTTTCATTGGCCAGAAGTTTAGACGGCTCATCAAACTCGACCACCTGTAAAAGAAGGAGGAGGAAATGACCTCACACCAGTGTAGGAAGCTGCCGGGGCTGTGAGCGGAGAATGTGGCCACTGGTGTACCTGTCCCTGATTGAGCACCATGACTCGGTCACAGTTCAGCACAGTGTGCAGCCGGTGTGCGATGGTCAGCGTGGTGCAATCCAGAAAAGCACTACGGATTGTCTCCTGGATCAGCGAGTCCGTCTCCGTGTCCATAGCAGCAGTGGCCTCATCCAGAATCAGCACCTGCCAAAATGTTGCAGGGGTAGGTACAGCCGGTTAGCAAGGAACTGTGAAATTTCAGGCATTCCTCATTTTACGTCATTATGACTTAGACTGACTTGTGTATATACACATATTTATATCGTGGCTTGTATTTTTATTTGCCATTTTTCCATTAGGTCTTTTTAAGCAGAATCTAGGGATCAGGAAGCAATAGCATTTCGCTACACACCTGTGAATGTGACAAACTTGCACATGTCTGTGCCTCCATACCTTACACTGCCTCAGCAGAGCTCTCGCTACACACAGAAGCTGCCTTTCTCCTACCGAGAAGTTTTCTCCATTCTCCAGCACCTCGGACTCCAGCTTCAGAGGCAGCTGGGCAACCTGGAGAGAACGGTGAACATGAACAGACTCAGCTTCTCATTGGTGGGCTTATCCATGCTTTCTGATGCCTGACTTGTCACCTTTGACCCCTGACGCTTACACATTCTTTCATGTGTGTCCTGTCCAGTGCATCCCAAATCAGGTCTTCTGCATACTGGTTGAAAGGGTCCAAGTTAGACCTAGAGAACAGAAGCTAAGTTACCCAGGTCACTGACATTACACCAGCATACACACTCCAGCTACTGCACCCCACCCCCCATACCTGACAGTCCCACTGAAAAGCACAGGCTCTTGTGGGATTATGGACATCTTGCTGCGTAGGTCTGCCAGACCGATGTCACAGATGTTGATGCCATCAATCCGGATGGTGCCACCACAAGGCTCCACTAAGCGAAAGAGCACCACGCCAAGAGAGGACTTCCCTGAGAGAGGATACACAGCCAGCCAATCATAATCCAGAGAGGCACACGGCCAGCCAATCAGCATCCAGACAAGTACCCAGCCAGCCAGACTTCTTGGAGTTATATTAACGATGTTTCCGGGCAAGAAGGAGCTTGACGCACCTGAGCCAGTTCGACCTACGATGCCAATCTTCTCTTTCGGCCGGATGGTGCAGGAAAGTTTCTTCAGAACCAGCGGCAAGTTCTCTCGGTACCTCATCTCCGTGTCATGAAACACGATCTCGCCTTCCTGGGGCCAGTCTGTCGGGGGGGCCTTGTTTTTGATCCGGGCAGGGGCCTCCAAGGCTAGGGACTGGTGGTTGAAAGGGCAATTAAGTAGAGTAGATGCACAGTGCACAGGTATGGGTCCCAGCTCCCCTAGATGTAATAGGGAGATCCCTCTCACCTGGATGTAGTGATGAATTCTCTCCACGGAGGTGAAGCGAGCTTCAGTCTCAGACGCCAGCCTCACGGTGAACTGGAACAGCCCAGTCAGCTAGATGGAGGATTGGGAGAGATGCAGTGAGCGCTGGTCTGGTGGAGGTGGGTGGGATGAGAGTGGGATGGAAGGCAGAGCCTCACCTGTACTGCATAGGATATGGCCAGGCCGGCGTAGGCGGGGGAGATCTGCCCGTGCATGAGCACCATCATCAGCGCAGTGATGCTGATCAGAGCCACGCTGATCAGGTCCAGACGCACAGCCAGCCAGCGCATGGCGCAGCTGAACAGGTAGAATGGGGCCTGGTTCTGATCCAGCAGCTCCTGATACCTGCGAATGAACCCGACTGACTCATTAAGCAGCAGAAAAGGTGGGGACATGGGCTGAGCTGGGTTTGTCGTTTCTGCAGCCCCAGTCTAGTGTAGTGGCCATTAGTGCCCAGCAGGGGGCCCCAAAACCTCAGGAGACACGCATATATGTGTGGTTTGAGTGGTGGTCAACACACTTGCGGGCCACAAGCCGTGACCCGGTTGGCCCCCCCCCAACTCACCTGTTCAGAAACTCCTCCCCCTTGTTGTAAGCATGCACAGAAGTGAGGCCCTGGATGCTGGAGGTCACGTGCGACAAGAAGGGTGACTGCGTGATGTTGTCCAGGCGCTTCAACTCCCGAATGAAGATGCGAGAGACGATGTGCAGCACCGTGAAGAGAACAACCAGGGGGCCCACAGATACCAGGAACCAGGGGAACACGCTGCTGATGACGCCCAGGCAGAAGAAGACCAGAATCACATTCTGGATGAACATCTCTGCTTGGAACGGGAGCCGGGTGTCCACTGGGGGGACGGGGGGTGTCAATCAACACAAGAAACATCCGGGGGACAGACATGAGAAAGCTGCGGCATGGTCGTCCGGCTACCTTCATCCATGTCCTTAGAGAAACGGTTGAGGATGCGGGCTGTTGGCGTTGTGTCGAAGAATTTCATGGGGCTGCGTAGAATCTTCCGGAACAGCTCCTCATGGAGCTGGGTGGATGCTCGGAGAGTCCACTGAGCAGAGGATGGGTAAATATACAATATACACACACACACACACACACACACACACACACACACACACACGGAAGAAAGGGTATGTATACCATTCTATCACTCTCACACACACACACACAGGAGTGCTGCATACCTTGACGAAGGCAATTCCACGAACCACCTTAATAATGAGCATGACGCCCATGGAAAGCGCGTAGATGGCAGTATAGTAGTGCATCAGAGGATGGTCCTTCATGCTGTCACTCACCACAGAGCTGTTCCCCTGCCACAATGTCGTGTTCTGTCCATCGGGGGCAACAGAGTCAGTCACAGACATGCACCAACCTGATACTTGTGTCTTATGAGTTACGTAGGAGGCGAGACACTGACCCCGCTGCCCTGTTTGACCCAGTAGCTGAGCCACCAGTTGCTAAAAGCCGTACTCCCCACGTTGAGCATGAAAAGGACCAGGATGAGCAGACAGACCAGTGGGCCGCCCGCTGCCGTCATGTACACCCCGTAGACCGACCAGGGCACCGAGCCCCGCCCACGCTCCTCAACCTGCATCAGCTGACCTGCGTTGTGGGGAAGAGAAGGACAGGAAGTCAGAGAGTGACTCATGGACAGTAACATACAGCAGAGACAGAGACTCAGATAGACAGACTCACAGAGAAGAAGAGACCCGGACAGACTCATAAACTGACTCACAAAGGCAGACCTAGAGTCAGAGTCAAAGATAGACACAGAGACACAAACTCACAGAGACACTAAACCTCACAGACAGTGAGGCAGAGAAACAGAGACAGTGACTCAAAAACAGACTCAAACTATGACTCAAAGAGAGGCAAGACACAGAGAAACACACAAATTCACAGACAGTAACTTACAGAGAGAGAGAGGCAGAGACACTGAGAGACTGAGAGGGACAGTAATTTACAGAGAGAGAGAGGCAGAGACACTGAGAGACTGAGAGGGACAGTAACTTACAGAGAGAGAGAGGCAGAGACACTGAGAGACAGAGAGGGACAGAGGGACTCACCACTGTCCTTGTTGACAGGTTTGTCCTTTTTCACTGAGCCTGCCTTCTTCTCTGGTGGTTTCTTCAGAGAGTTTCCGGAGGCCTTTTTCGTCACCTGACATAACAGAACGGCGTTAAGGCCCTCTCCCTCCCCGTGTCTCTGACAGAGACATACATTAACACGCTCAACGCCCCCTTGCCTCGACGCAGGGCGCCTCCCCCAGCTGCAGGCTGTTGAACATGGCCGCGTAATCGCCGTTGAGCCGCATGAGGACGTCATGCGTCCCCTGCTCCGTGATGCTGCCATCCCTCATGACGATGACGTCGTCGCAGTCCACCAGGTACTGAGAGAGAGACGCCACATGGCCGTTACACCCGGTCACGTTCAGGCCGCCGCGCGACGGGGAACATAGACGCCCCACACCTGTAGCTGATGGGTGATGAAGAGGACGGTCTTCTGGCGTAGCTGCTTCTTAATGGCGTTGTTGAAGATGTGGTTCCCCACGTGGGCATCAAGGGCACTAAGTGGATCGTCCAGGATGTAGATGCCGCGGTCACTGTACAGGGCCCGGGCGAGGCTGATGCGCTGCCGCTGGCCTCCACTGAGGTTGGCGCCACGGTCCCCGATCTGCCAAGTCAAAGGGGAAGGGGGGGGGTGGGCAGACGTACAGCAGAAATGCACCCCAGCCAACATCAGCCAGAGGACAACAGTGTTACCTCGGTGAGGTCTCCACAGGGCAGGATGGCCAGGTCTGGTCTCAAGCAGCAGGAGCCAAGCACCTTCTGGTATCTACGTAAGGGGCATTAAGGGCGGGTCAGGCCTGTTCGGACCCACGGCAAGCCTCCTTGTCCCCCCGGAAGTGACCACTACTCACCTCTCTTCGTCATATTCCTTCCCAAACAGGATATTATCTCTCAGCGAAGCGTTGAGAATCCAGGCCTGCTGGGCCACGTAGGCAAAGTCTCCATTTACAGCCACTGAGCCCTCCAACAGAGTCATCTGGGGTGGCAGCAGGTCAAAGGTCAGGGCTGAAGCGACAGGCTTCCATAGATCCTGAATCAACCTGCCCCGGGGACAGTGTACCCCCCCCACCCCCCCAAGGAAAACAAGTTACCTGGCCCAAAATGGCAGAGATGAGCGATGTTTTGCCACTGCCCACGCTACCGCAGATGCCCACCAGCTGGCCCTGTGTCAGAGAGGAGAATAACACACCATTTTTAAGCAGCACCTTTCACAACAGAGTCGCCTCAAGGTCATCAGAGTGAGTGATGTTTGCAGAAGCTTGCCGGCAGGTACTTCAGGGCTCGGACCTTGGGCACAGAGAGGTCGATGCAGTGTAGGGTTCTCTGGAGCCGCTGGCTGACTGTGGGGATAGGCGTGGCCTCGCCCTCGGCTCCGGCCGGTTCGCCTTCAGCCAGCAGCTGCCTGCCAGGATCCTCTGACTGCTTCCCCACTTCCAGCTTCTCTGAAGGCTTTTTGTGGCCACGCCTCTGGGCCAAGCCCACTGAGGGAGTGCCCCGGGGTGTGGGCTGGGCACTGTGCCCACTGGTCTCCCATGCGAAGCTGGCACTGCTGAGTTCGACAGCCACATGGGGGCGCTGTGGGCACGACTGGATTATCTCCACCTCTGGCATCATGAGCAGACTCTGCATGAAGGTGTAAGATCATGAAGGCAGGCATGCACACACACATAATGCTTAGTCATCTCTAGGAGGACAGAAGAGAAACAAACCTTAAATCTCTCCATGGCCACAGACGCCTCAGACAGAGACTTGACAGAAAAGGGTGTGACCTTGAGCGCAAATGTCATGGCATTGAAGACTGTCACCACGGTAAATGCCTGTCGGGTACAAAACAATAGACATTCTCCAGCGACCTCACCCTTCAAGACGATTTACATTACACCTACAGGGCAACTATGATGTCATACCTGGGCTGCAGTGAGATCATACCCCAGGAGCATATGGGCGGAAAACGTGGCAACGCTGGCTATCACCACAACGACTGGAGCCACGCCCACTGTGATGCTCTGGAAGTATCCTGTCCATGCAAGGATCTTACGTTCCTCCTCACGGATGCCTGTGGGACGATACGTACGTTGAACCCATCTGCGCAGACGCGCGCACGCAAACACGCATGCAGACAGGGACGGGAGCCGGACACTTACGGCGCACTTCCTGAGAGAAGGCCTTGACCCAGGCATACATCTTGATGAACTTGATGGAGTTGAGGATCTCGTTCATCTTCTGCACACGCCGGTCCGTCATGGTCACGCCTTTCCTCCTGAAGTAGGCCGTCAGTCTTGAGCTGAACATCTGGCACATACAGGCGACAAGTGAGAAAACTATCCTCCATTTTTCAAGCCGAGTTAAGTCAAGTCAAGGTCAAGTGGGGGCTTTACTGTCACACCAACCATATTCAGTACACAGCATACGGCGGCCCGGTTCCCCAGGACCGCGGTGCTACATATATACATAAAGTGCAGAGAGAGACAAGACAAGTGCAAAACAAAAAAAGTATGACAATATTAACACAAGATGTTAATGTGAACAACGTTGGAATGTTGAGAATTTAGGCAAAGACGGGAGCAGTAGAGTTACAAATAAATACATGAATAAATTTGTTCAGGACGCTGAAGCCCACGATCTGCACACACTTTACTCGTGTTTGGAGTCATCTTCTCATTACATTAGATGAGAACAGTGTCTGCTTGTTCAGCTGTCTGCCTATCCCCCTGTGCCCATTGCCCTCCCACCATGCCCGCCTGTGCGATTGGTTACCATCGCAGGGTAGAAGAGGATGAAGACGGCAGAGCCCAGCAGGGATGTGGGCCCCAAGATGATCAGGTTGTAGATCATCCCCAGCACGGCGATGAGCGGCCCTCCAGCCAGAAGACTGCCCACGGCGGCTGCCTCGAACATCCTCTGTCCATCGCCGGAGCACAAGTTGATCAGCTGAGAACAGGAGAGGTGCCGTCACATCAGCTCATGGGAGCTTTACTTACACAAAAATGTTCTGAGGGCAGAAGGAACAATGATTGGTTCAGAGAGATAACCAATAGGATTGCAGATGAATCTGATTGGTTATCTCTCGGAACCAATCATTTTTGTGTAAGTAAAACTGCCACATGCTGTCACCTCATCACAGAGCACAGGAAGTAGCCCATATGGAACACCAGCCCGCCCCGGCCGCCCCTCACCTCGCCCATGGACTTGTCCTTCATGCTCCTCAGTCGCAGGATCTTTTGGAAGGCCATGGTCAGGATAGCACCTCTCAGGCGCGTACCCGTGCGATAGTTAAGGGCCCAAGTGAGAGCCAGGGACCAGGATCGCACCATTTCCGTGGCCAGCAGGCACAGCACCAGAAGCAGGCCGTAGGGCAGGTCCGGCTCGGCCCGCTGCGTGTACTCCAGCAACCGCTTCACCACGAAGGCCTGTGGACGAGGGGCAAGACAACACAGGCAGCGTGACTGACTGCACCCCCACTGGCTGTCCCCACCCACTCACCGCCATCATCAGCAGCCTCAGCCAATCATGCCATTCCAGTGCAGCATCACAATATCCACTCTCTCCTCAGAAACAGTACAGACACGCCGCAATACCTCCGCTGATTAGTACTCGCGCCTCGGAAGGCGTACGCCCAGCGTTTACCTGTGCTGGCCTTTTTCTATTAAGGTCCTTTGAAAAAGAACAAGAGAAACAAATAAAAGCCGGCAGGGCCATTTTGAGACAATCATTCCAGCACATTCCACATTAAGACAATGACGACGGCAACAACATCTCTCTGAGTTTCAGTCCCACGGAATCAGCGACATCATACCTACAGTCACATGGTCGTGTGGCTGAGTGAGGAATCTGTTTTTAATGCCTGAAAACAAACATTAGCACTTTAATTACACAGAAAGTGCAGGATAAGGGGAGAGAGAAAGGGAGGGAGAGGGGGAAAGAGAGAGAGAACCAAAAAGTGATACAGCCATGAACAGTGCCCACTCAAATATCCAAATGCACACACTCAGCAAACACACACACACACACACACACACACACACACACACACACACACACCCACACCATTTGCAGAGTGCCAGTCCCACACAGTTCAAGGTGTCACCATCGTTTATTAGCATAGAAGTCAGGCTAAGTGTGAACCCAGGTAATCACAAAACAGGCTTCATTAACAACGCAGGAACAGAGCAGATGCAGTAAGGACCACAGTCCAGTCGCAGAGTCCCAGAGGGCCACGGGCCCTTTCCGGTGGCTTCCGCGCCCCCACTCCAGGTGCCACCGCTCGACACACAGTTTCTTTGTCTCCTTTGTCCAGAGTGAGACGTGGCACTAAACAAAAGCAGCAATGTCTATCGGGAGGGTCCATCCTGCGCTTCCATGCGCGGTGGGGGGGGGGGGTCCCAGTGCACCCCCAGTGTCCCACACCCTTACATTCTGTGTCCTGGCCCTTCCAGGGGCTTAGCAGTCCAAGCACGCCACAAGGGAGGGAAAAAAAAAGAAAAAAAAGCGTTCTTTGCGGCCGATTATGGCCCCGGCATGCAACACGGGCTGCCGGCTGAAGTCGGTGTGGATCGGCGTCGTCGCACGACATGCGTGCGGCTAACAAGGACCAGACTCCTACCCTGTGCACGGCACACGCCCTACGACACAGGCATGAGCAGACACCCATCATGTGCAGCAGTCAGACAGAGCTACAGCAGGAGAGTGCCCCCTGCTGGCAGCCCAGGAGAACGTACCCTTACCTGTCAGCTTTGGACGGCTCCGCGCCCCGCCTCCCGCGATATTTCCCTCCGCAGTTTAACGGACGGCCTGTGAAGTCTGAAGAACAGCCTCTGTCACATGTCCCTCCAGGGGGAGTGGCAAGCTGAGAGTCCAGCGCCCCCCACCCCTGCACGCATGCATGCACACACGCACGCGCACACACGCGCACATACACACGCACGCACGCCTGGGGGGGGGTTGCCTGTGCGGATGTATTTCCACCCCTTCTCACAAAGTTCGTTTTGGAAGCCGAGTCTGATTGGACGAGCAGTTTGGCCCACCTGTCGCGGTGGTTGCTGTAGCTTTGGTCACATTACTAAAGGCGTGGCCCTATCAGGGCCCGGTCCTGAGAGACCTGCCAATCACATGTAGACACATAGGTGACCTTGAGGTTACCTGGGGGAGGGGCTGTGGAGCAGGCAGACAGTGCAGGACAGAGAAGCTTGTTACATACCCCGCAGAGAGACAGTGACAGAAGCTCTCCTTGGAAAAAGCCGGTGCGTTAACCCTGAAAGCCCTGTCCTCTTGAACACCTGCAGACACCTGCCTAAACCTACAGAAAGGCTACAGACCCAAGCAATTCAACACAGCAATGCTATCTTCATCATCAACATCATCATCATCAAAACAGTGTCCTGACAACCACAGAAAGCAAGGCTGATCACATAGGGGGGCTCTTAAGTTAACTTAGAAGTCAAATGAAGTACTATAACATCAGGAGACAGGATAATGTGGGACAATGTGCTACTAACAGAGCTGCACTAAGGCATGCTATGGACAAGTGTTTAGTTATGATCTCAACAGTTCTACTGGCCCCGCCCATTTGGACCCTAGTCTGGGCCACTACCAATGAGCTGCTGGCACTGTCCAATGAGCTCCTGCTGCAGGGTTCCCTTGCTGTTCTGGCATAAAGGCTGTCAATGGTCAGGACATGTGCAGTCTGAACTTCCACACTCGCTAAAGGAGCAACATCAGGCTGGCTAACGACACTAGGCATTGATGACCATGTTTCGAGGCCTGAGACAGGCCACCATCAGGGAGCTGATGATGTAAAGTCCTGTAAGAGGACTATACCATTATGCCCAAGTCTGTGCCCCTACGGGCGTCTGCACTGCAAGGCAGTGTTGCATTTCAGGTGAGGGTGAGACTGAGGTAGGCTTTGCCAAGTCCAACCGAAAAACTCACCTGTAGACTTCACAAGTGGATCAAAGTGTGTGTGTCAGAGAGAGAGAGAAATAGGGAGAGAGTGTGAGAGATAGATAGAAAGAAAGTGAGAGAGAAAGATGGGAGGCACTTACTGGACCACTGAAGCCTGCCAGCTGTGTGACCATGAGGCAGACGATGGAGAGCAGCAGTCGTGTGCGGCAGAAGGCCCAAACCACACGGCGCAGAGAGGCCTGCGGCCCGCACACCTGGAGCTCCTGCTCCCAGAGTGCCGTCAGCCTGGGGGCGGGGGGGGGGGGCACATCCAGGGTCAGTTGATAGTATATAGTCAAACCTGCAGATGTGATATGGTCTTCTCCGACACTGACCTCTTACGGTTAGTCTCTCCACTCTCCCAGTGTGAGACAGGCCACACGTCACCTAGGAGCAGCTGGCCCTGCCGGTAGGCCTTCAGTGCGAGGGGCGTCATCCAGGACAAGGTCATGAAGGAGAAAAGGCCAGCATTGTCCACTGGGTGCTGGTGCCTGGGGTGAAGGGAGAGGTTAGGGGCGGAGCCAGGCATGGAGTCAGGGGCAGAGACAGAGCTGTTCTAATCTGGCCAGAAGAACAGCCCAAACCGATGACCTTGAAAGACGAGTGACTCACTTGCTGGTGGTGCGAAAGGGCTTTAGCATGTTCACGGTTTGCTGGTACTTCCTCCAGCCAATCACCTCCTCCTCCTCCTCATCCTCGTTCAGGTGGGTGGTGCTTCCTCCTTCCAGAGGGAGGCCTCCCTCCGCCCGCGCCGCCGTCTCCAAGGCATCCTGACAAGCCACGCCACGTAAACACCATCAGTCATGTGACCTCTTAAGCCTAAGCACAATCAGCTTCCAAACCATCTCAGCATTGCTTCAGGTAAAAACAAAAAACAAACAAGAAAAAAAACTAAACTTTATTATAATATGAAACGAAACAAAGCAGGACTCAGACTTTACAGAAAAAAAACTGCAAGAATTACAGAGGCCGCCTTGTTTACAAAGTGCTAAACCATCAAGCCGGCTCTGAGTAAACAAGCCTACAGCCTCTACAGCACCCCCATCACACGTTTGCCTGCTAATCTCACGTTGCGCAGACATGCTAACAGCTCAGAGGCTACACTACCATCCAGCCAGTAGAGGGCCCAAAGAGCTCTGACGTCACTACAGATGGCTATTATTGGCTACCCCTGCTGGCCGAGCAGCCAATGAGACGCTCAAGGTTATATAAACAACGGAAGCCAAGCATGGGGTATGCTGGGGAACAGCCAATCAGCTACAGGCACTGTTTAGATACTCTCTCTTAGGAAAGGGAGGGGGATGGAAGGAGAAGCTGCGCTCTCATTCTGCTGACTCAATGCGGAGAGGAGGGAGAGAGAGGAACAAAAACACAGAACACACACAAAAGCTTGCGCACTGTCTGAACAAAACAGCAGCTGTTCGACCATTTTGACTTTAACTGCTCAAGGTCTCTCGCTGCTGGCATACCCTTGTGTGGAAGGGAGCTTGGCAGTAACGCAAGATTCTAGAAATCAGGCTAAAAATGGACATTGTGGTCTGAACAGGATGTACACTGCAACAGCACAGTCAACACTCCCCCCCCCACCCCCCTCCAAAAACCCCAGAATTAGCATGCATCCCCCTTCTGTGTGATCAACCCCCTTTTGCACCTTTGATATTTTGGTGAGAGGGTGGCCCATTTCTTCCTTTTCAGTGAGGCAGGAGGAGGGAATGAGGTTGACTGACAGACTAGAATGACACACCTGTGATTCACGTGCCAGACAACCAAGACTCTGCCCTACTGGAGGCAGCTTACAGCTCACACCCTCACTGTCACCCAGGTCAAACTCTGGGGTTTGACCTACCTGCACCTTGGAGAGCTGATACGAGTCGGTCTCTGAGCCCGGTGGAGCATCTGCACTTGGCACAGTGCGATACCCTGGGCCGACATTCAAGTAGTCCTTTCCTAAGTCAAGGTCTTTCATCTTCGCTGCACAACATAAGGCTACTGATCACTTCTTCAGCAAAAGCAGTCTTCAGGTGAAATTTCTAGGGAGACACAAACGACACGCAACTATTTAGAAGAGAAGAGCCACCTAAAATAACCTAAGCATAACCGATTGGGATAGGAGAACTTCTACAGAACCATCCTGACTAAAGGCGGTCAGTGCCGAAATACAATCATGTACCAGAAGGTGCAGCACCTTATCTTACCATCCGACTTATTCGATACTTTATCTCTATATAAGATATACGGACAATATCTTCACAGAAGGGTAGAACAGGTCCAGATGGTACGTCGAACAGGTGAGCAAACGAGTCGCGTTGCGGCTCCTCTCACGTAACTGCAGAAGATACGAGGCAGGTCGGGTACGGAGATCGGGAAGTGGGACCCCGTCAAAACAGAACAAAACAAAAGTGAACCCGATGTTTGTCCTTGTGTTCCACGTCACATTTCAATACGGCTACCGACCATTGAGACCAAATGCATTTTTGTGTTGTCGTGTTTTGCGCGACGTCCGCCACCCGTCTGTCCCATTCCCAGAGCGTCAGCAGTGTCCTGCTGCAGTGACACAGTCTGACAAACTCATCACACAACGCCCAGCGACAACCCGCATCTAAACGCATACAGGAAGCAATAAAAACAGACGCCTCCTTTATAAGGAAACGATATGCTAAAAATCAAATACATCATTAGCCAACATGTGATATTCACGTCTCATCCGTATACCAAGAGCCAATAAGTATCATAAAATATCGCCGGAAATTATTTAGATCAGCGACCAATAAAAAAAAACCGTTAAATCCCGTTTTATACGTCTCCTTACACGGGGTTACTACATAATCGCTTTTATTATAACGTTTTAAATGTTAAGAAATGAAACGGGATGACGACGATTAATGTTCATTAAAATAACTGATTTTCTGTTCTGAGAGGTTAAAAATAATTTAAATTTAAAAAATCTCCCTAGCAACAGATACCTACATCTCCACCTTGTCAGCCCGGAGATCCAGATCAAGCGCTGCAGCAAAAACAACTTCTTTATAAAGCAGCTTTTTAAGGCGAGACTCGGGGATGCGTTGTAGGGAAATGTAGTTAAAAATCAGGATGCTAACAGTTTATATCAAGGAAAGGATCATACAAAAAAAACTACAATTACCGTGACGTTATGCAGTAAGGGAGGGTGATTTTAGTCTCGGGGCGGAGCGTACGATTTTACGTATGAATGCGTGCGCGCACCTTCGGTGACGAGCAGAACTGACATCTGGAAATGAAAATTTGGTTTACCAGCTGTAGTTTCTTGTCAAAAAACATTCATTGTAGGTTATTAATATACGTAAACGTCCTTATAAAATGCTAAACAACAAAACAAGCGGTTTTTCTTGTACGATGTTTCCGCAATTATAGTTCAGCAGGTAGTGTTTTTAGCAGATGCAGTAAAGCTGTGCACTTTCAGGGCAAAATGAAAAAAGTCGCATCTCGTTTAACACGCCTTTTACAGTAGTCGCGGCGCGTCGTTTATCTGTTTGCTTTCACTGTCTACGTCATTGTAAGAACGTTCAGATGAAAATGTGCCGCCACTCTGTTTCAGAAACCCTCAGTAGTAAGGCTCAATGACCAGTCACCCAGATTTTTAATGAACTTGTGACACAGGTCGAGGCCGAGAACAAAGCCAACCGAATATCGACAGCACCCAACGTCACGTCAGGTTTTGTAATATATTTAACTCTTGGTCAGCACACCAGTGACTCAACACGCCAGTCAAGTAACCCAAAGAAATACTGCTTGCAGGATTAAAACCTTGCTTCATTTTCTATGTAGAAAGGGCATTACATTAGTGTTTCTGTTTGTATTACACACCCTGAACGCACAGCTTTGATAAACTAGAGACCAATTATTTTGCTAGCCACACCCAGGTAAAACAGCAATTATGCACTAGACCCACATTTCTTGATAGCTGCAGGCTTTACCACATTCTTCCCATTCGTTTGTGACACTTTCCATACAGGGCACCAAATAAACGCAATCTTTAAATTTTCAGTATTTTCAGGGACAATTCAGTCTGCTGGTCTGGTGACCAATGTCAAACAGTCCAAATACTTAACTTAGGACTTACTTGCTGTTGCAGTAAGCAGCTTGGGGTTAAGCCCACCTCGAAAATAAAGGCCATTTAAACTGCAGTAAATGAAAGCTAACATGTTGTTATCTAAGTAAGACATCTTGTTTTTTGAAACAGGTCCCTGGCATCGTTTTATGGCTTTTCGACTTGCTGTACTGGATCAAGGTTAAGCAGATTGTGACATTATTCCCAGCTCTGTGTTCCGACCTCCAAGGTAAACGGAACGAAGTGCAAGTAAACAACTCTACAGCCCAATGCATGGTGAAGGTAGTGAAAAAGGACCCCAACTGTAAAGAAAAACTTGCTTTTAACTTGCAAAAACAAATGCAAGACCTATATTCTATATTCAGGGCTTTCCAACTCACCTTCTGCGCTTGCAATGACCTCTGACCTCGAACTGATATCATTTAAGAAACAGGATAAAGATGCTTAGCAAACCCTTTTTCAGTCCAAACAGCTGCGCATTTTTCTGGCCTCAGCCGCAAATCCTCCGAAAGTCGAAATGACATGCCCAACCCAGCACCATTTCGGAAAATATCCCGGTGTGTGTTGATGCGGTTGTCCAGAAGTACACAGGGCTACACTGACAAAGAATCAGACGTGAAGAGCCATTGAACCAACAGTGACACTCCCCATTCGCCACCCCACTGACTGCACAGGCACACGCTGCTCAGGGATTGGACCACTTTATTGTATGTACACAAAGGCTCACACACGTGATGGATACAGCATCTGGGGGGAAAAAGGGTGAGAGAAAATCTCATTACATTAAGTCACCTGCTAGCACAATGTACACAATGATATTTAGATCTGTGAGCTTCACTTACAAGTAAAAAAAAATGTTAAACAGCTTCCTAATACAATCTGCCAGGTGTGGGGGGGGGTATGAACTCTCTCTCAACCACAAACCTGGTTTTCAGGCCAAAGGAACTGACACTTTCCACAGTTAAAGCTGCTCACACTGAAGAAACAGCAGCCAACACTCACCACTCGTACTCTGTGTCCGATGGCTTTGGCGGGCAGGTTGTTCTTGAACTTGGCACGCACCATGCCACTGCTGCCATGGGCACGTGTGATCTTGCCCCAGATGACCCTGGTCTTGTTGGGCTGGCCACCAGGGGTCATTGTGTTCCTGCGGGACAGAATGAGAACCCCAATCTCAGCAGAGCTGGCAAGTAAACAGGGGCCACATCAGGCGCAGAAGACTGCAGCAAGATGGAAACCACAAACACGGTATGTAATTCTCTGGACTAGAGATCACTGACAACAGAACAAATGATCAGGTCTATAAGGTGAAATCAGCTGTTCACACAGGACAGCTTATATACTTTACACAAAAGTCAAAAGTACCATATTTACTGGTGACATTGGCATGTGCTGCAAGGGAAATTAACCCTAGAATAGTGACAAAAAAAAAAGAGAGAGAGAGAGAGAGAGAGACCAGCTATACCAGTGGCTTTTGGAGCCAGGACTGAACTGGGCTCAGTGAGAACACTCCCAACTTGAATATTAACCTCATTCGCACCAGGAAACACTGCAAGCCATCAAAAGGACCAAGGGGGGAGCAGACAGAACTACAGCTCCAATGATATTCAACTAAACCCGGCTCACCACCATTCAGGACCATTTACAGAACACCAGAATGTAGCGGACATATCATTCCTTTTGGGATAAATGCATCCTAACGATCAAGAGGCCTCAGCCTAGTTCATACTCCACCTGTCAGCATGCTGTTACACTCCACACACAGTATGCATCGTGAAAAATTTCTTCATCAGGATTGTCCGCGCTTGCAGCCCAGATTTTGGGCCTAGCATACTTGCACATCAATGAAATATCTAAGGAATTGATAGTGCGTTGCTAGGCATTTCGGCAGGTGGAATGTGCCAGTCCGGTGGAATCTAACTGCTGTACGCATGTGCCAAGTATGTCCCTATGCATACACAGACAATGCCCCATAATGTATGTACACATACGTGGGAGCATACACTAGGCATTATAGGACCATCACTGCCTGTCATACATTCACCCGCTAATCAGGGCACTTACCAGCACCACCAGAGATTGTGGCACCGAAACACCAACCTCCTCACTGAGCACCGAGTAAGACCACCCAGTCCAGACTTACTTCTTAGCCTTGTAGACGTAGGCACAGCGCTTGCCCAGGTAGAAGTCCGTCTCTTCGCGCGTGTAGACTCCTTCCACCTTCAGCAGAGCCGTGTGCTCACGCTGGTTCCTCAGACCACGCTTGTAGCCTGTGAAGATGGCCTTGCTCCATAGTCTGGAAAGAACGGGGACATGTCGAGGTATGTCATCTTGAGTGTCACCTACACGCAAGTAAAGGTTGTGAAATTCTGGGAATTTTCAAAGTTAGAAATGGGAATTAGCAGGAAAATTGCAGGTTAAGCCTGTAACAGACAACGTAAATGTAGTTGGGGAAAAAAGTCTTGATGGAACTAATAGTGATATCGTTGTGTTACCAAGTGCTTGTATATAACTGTGTGGAAAAACAACCCCAAAATAAGCATTCGCATCAAAACGCACTGCCTATAAGTTATATTCCACGTAGTATTATTCATAGTTTGCTTGCTTTGCTGTATCTGACAGCTTGCATGGAGTTCCAAATTTCCAAAATTCCCCAGCTTAACTTCCAAAGATAAGTTTCTGGAAAGTTTCCAGAATTTTTCTGCCGCTTTGCAACCCTACATGCAAGCATATAACGGAAAGCTTCATGCTTTCAGGACCACAGTGCAACATACGACAAGGACAGAGACTATGCATGCACAGCACCATGCAGTACAAATAGCCTGAAAGGGCAACTAATACATCCAGCATGAACTGTAACAGAAACAAACGATTCTGTAACGGAATCTGACATTTAATACACAGAATGGTTAGTATGTATACATTCCCAAACAGTGGACCTTAACTATGAAACAGCGAAAGGGGTTTATTTACGTTTATTAACACCTTACCAGGCACTGGAAACCCATTGTAAACAAAATAAATTTTCAAATATACGCATTAGACTCCGGCTACAAAAATCCTCAAGAGCTGTCAGAACATTCACAGCAATTACGATGGGGTTGCAATGGCGCTGCCGCTCCCAGACACGTGTGACAGGGACAGGGGCTAGAAACATCACCGGCACCCTCTGACTGGGTCACTATACACGCAGCTGATGTGCCGGCACATCCACACCGAACCCGAACCGTGGTCGCGGTCACGAGGGGGAAGAAGCCGAAGCGTACGAACTGCTAATACGACGATACGGGTCGGGGGGACAGTGACCTACTTACCTTCCCGGCATTATGATCGTCAGGCGTCCGGCTTTGTAACCTCGAAGGAAAAGAGAGAATAGTTAGGAAGGATCAGCATGATGTAGAGGCTACGGAGCGTCCAAACGAGCCGCTCTTCCCTTAACGTTAACGCTCAGACGGCCATTTTGTACCATTAGCTACAGAGCCAGTTGGTTATAAACTAACCCATGGCGCTGAGGTATTCTTTACGGAAAACTCTACACCTCAAAGCCACATACGGTATTACACGGGCCACCTTAATCGAAACCTATTTATTCAAAACTGCATTAACAGTTAGTATTAAAGTAGGAGTTAATGTGAACAGCCGGTATGCTGGCGGCTCACGGTTGGCTGAAACAGAACAGCCAACATCCACTAAATATCTTTGTCATCCTAGTATCTTCTATAAACACATCGCAGAAAATATTAAGTGGAGAGTGTATTCTGTGTGAACCAATAAAAATCACATCCCAAATTCATGTAACAAACATTGAAAAACCTATTGACATTTGGGTTGTTTTCGTCTCTCACCTGCACAGATGTAAAAAAATGGAGGAAAAGGGTAAGCCCAGGGCATGCTGGGAAATTAATGCCATGTGTGACCAAAGCGGCGCCTGATTAAAAATATTTTATTTATTTCGGAACATGCATGTATATTTTACATTCATGACACAATGTAAATAACATTGTGTTTATCGTGCTTTGTCCTGTTAGCCATTTTTAAATAATATGATGCCAGTGTTATTCTCATCTAATATCTAACCATGAGATCAAAATACTACAAATTGACTTTTTATTTATTATTCATGTAATTGATTTTCATTTATTTTGTACAATTTAATTTAATGGAAAGGTCTGTTATTTGCGCTACCTTGTTGCCATGGTTACGAAAGTTTACACAAGCTGTAAACTAACGAGCAAGGTAAGCGGCATGTGTGGTTATAATTGCTTTCCGCAGCTTTAGTGTGCTTCGGACTTGGACAATGTAATAAAGATAATGGAAGATCTATTTCCATAGAGTAGGTGCAAGAAAGCTAGCGTGTCCTGCTAAGTATATTTTTCTCCGTTTTGCGGGTACACCGGCAGGATGGCGTCGCCTTTCAAGGCGGTAGAGCTGCTGAGGATAACCACGGTACTGGAGGACTGTGCTGATCAGCTGGTCATCCTGGGAAACCTCAGGCGGGCCCGACGGGGTTGTTCTGCGGAAGAGGTGCCGAGCTATTTTGCCTGGTCGTCCTGTGACGTTTATGCGTTACACTGTTATATCTGCCCCCCTCTGCATCGTTGAAACGTATTGCCTATATTCTGGTTTTTGATTCGTGCGTCTTGCCTGCTCTCTCGGTCTGTCAGGCTGCCACAGCAGACTTAGGGGATGTGCCACATAGGTCTCAGAGAGAGTTGGGAAGTCCCGTCTTACCTGCTTACCTGTCCAAGGTGCAGCAAAACAGGTGGGTACAGGCACACTTTCTCATGCATGCATACTCAGCAACATGCTACCAGCACCAAGCAGCATAAAAACACACACAGCCGGTTCTCTCTGAGAGATTGCAGATTTTCTATGGACTTCTCAGGGACTTTGTGGATCAAGCAATCACAGCCTTGTTGGAAGAGCTACAGGCAACTGGGACATTCAACAGTCTGCTGTGCATCATAGACGAAGAAGAGAGGCGGAAGAGCCAACTACAAGACATCGTCCTGAAGTTAGAGCCTTACTATACGGTAACGGGCTAAGTATGCTGGTGGCACATAACTGTGCACAAACTGTACTGTGTGTGGCAGGGAGGAGGAGGCCAAAAGCAAGACCAAGGTCCTGCAGAGACAACTGCAAGATATCCGAAAGGAAAACGCCCTGAAACTACAGGTAAAGAAGGCCACCACATTCATCGCTGGCAGGGTTGAACGGGGTCGGTGGGGGAGCAGGTGCCAGGCTTCCTTTGCACACATAGCATTTTGTCTCCAGGACCGAGATTGTTTCATAGCTCACCTGAAAGACCAGCTACAGGAGACGAAAGCCAGGACAGCGCTGGAGAAGAGCTACGTGACAAAGTGTTCCAAGCTGCTGGTCTACCAGGAGCAGAAGCTCAATGCATCCTCTGAGAAGCAGCTGCTGGAGATGATACAGGTGCGTCTGTTCACACATCAGTGCCAGTGTTGAGTGGCTGTAGACCTTTGGAAATCTGATGCTCATGAATCACAGCCCAGGTTATGCAGACTTGACCAAAAGGAGAACGGTCTGGGAGCCTGGGTCTCTCATACCAGGGCACAGATAGCAGACATCCTCTGTAGGTTTACGAAGAGCTTTATTTTCTGCTTTTGCTCCCAGCTATTTCACGACAGGATGGACGAGGAAAAACGAGCTCATGCTGAGATGGAAGGATTCCTTAAGAGGCACCAGGCAGTATGAAGCTGAAGCTGAGGGAACCTGGGGTTTGACTGGCTTTCAGTGTGCAGACACTGTGTGATGGAGTATAACTGTAATAATGTGAATTGTAATCCTGCATACTGTTTTGTATGAATAATAATGGATCGCCACACACTTTTATGTGCCTTTTATATATATATATGCTACATATTAGAAGAATTAGTTGCCTGATTAGTATGCTGTGCATGAGAATGTGTGACCGGATTTCCCCAAGCGCCTGGAGGAGAAGCTGGAGATGTGGATGGAGCAATATGAGAAGGATATGGAGGAGAAGCAGCAGGAGATCAGCACCCTCAGGAATGCCAGGGCCAGCAACCTCCTGCAGCTGCAGGAACTGGCCAGGAAGGTAAGTCCGCCGGGCCCACTGCCTGCTCCTCTCCCGCCTCAGAGATCTGACCAGGCTGCCGCTGTGTTCCAGTACCAGCACAGCGAGCAGGTGGTGAAGGAGGACCGTGTCCAGAAGCTACTCCTGCGCCAGCAGCTGGAGATGGATCGGAACCAGAGGAACGCTGCCCTTAAGGTCTGCTAGGGAGCTGTATGATGTGTGTGTCTGTGCCCTTTCCATGAAAGTGCTGCTGCTTGTATACTAGGTCTCAGGATCCCTCCTCTTTTCTCTTATGCGTCCCCCCCCCCAGATCCAGTCGTGGTGGAGAGGCACTCTGGTCCGCCGGCAGATGGGCCCCCACAGGAAGGGAAAGAAGACGACGACAGCGGCAAAGAAGAAGAAAAAGTAAATAAGGGGAACTGTAACGGCCACCATGTGACCATCTGATCAAATGTTCACATGACCTAAACATAGCACCAGTTTGAAGTGTTGAAGTGGGGGCAGGGGTTTAAAAAACACAGACTCAGGCTGAATAAAATTCATTTATTTATGCTCTTAAAGTAACCAAATACCCGCTAGAAGTACTGTCAGCTTTTCGTTTGAGTCCAAACTACGCCGTTTTCTGATATTCATATGACCTATAAAGAGGAAATTCATAAAAAGAGGCTCGATGAGGACTTGTGATCATAAACGTACGGAATGTACTAGAGTCACTGTGGTGGCCAGCCCTGTCCTCGGGGGAGGAAAACACTGCACAAGGACAGCTATGTCACAGTCCGTGTCAGCAGACAATAAAGAGGCGGCCGAATCAAATGCGACTCCCTGCTCCGATTGTTACGGTGCACATGACGCGTCAGACAGGTCACGACACCGCACGGCTGTTCCGCTCGTTTGCATCATCTGGGAGGGAACAAACCTCACCTGATTTTTCAACCTTAACTGGAGTCACGTCACGCCCTGGGAGGGTGCGTGACACCGAGATCAGCTACAGTACTGCTAGGAATGTCGCTCACCCACAGGAACGTGTGGAGGAACAGCGCATCAAAATGATAAAAGCAGGCAGGAGTCCGTGCAGCCGGGCCAAACTCAAGCTCACCTGGACGGGTCCGACTGGACCAGACCTCTTTCATTAAATATGTCAGGAAAAGAAAAAAATAATCTGTACAGTAGTGTTTGTCTTGACTAAATTTAATAATAGCAAAACTACTCGTGTCTGACTTACCCAGAGAGTCTGGCCTGCGCTCCAATGGAAGGACGGACACATTAAGAAATATAAAAATCGTAGTGTGCTTGATTAGACTTTTCCAGAAGAAAACATCCCCAAGTGCTTTCCTAATTTCACCTTTAGGGTACACTACTAAACCGTACTGCAGTATTTTGCATACCTTAAAAAAATACAACTGTTACATGTATTTCATTTCATATATCTTACTAAATGTAATACATATGACAGTTTCAGCTGCTGATCAGGAGGACCAAACTACCCTGCGTTTGGCTCCACCTCATGGCCATGTACGGGACTGCAACTCCTCACACGTCAGTGTAAAAGCAGAGTGTGGGTGCCCCTTGTTAGACCCACGATTGTGCCCTATAGCTCACTGCATACCTCAAAATATGCTGCGGGAATCGTGACAAAAGGTGGACAAGCATCACATCCCACACGGACCATGCAGACAACAACAGTTACTGCACAGCCAATGATCCCTTAAAGGGATCTGACCCAAAAAGAGAATAATAAAAAGACCTATCTATGAATCATAATGATTTAACGTTTGTTTTAAAAGTAAGTTAATGAGGTTTTTATAAACATCTCACCCTAGTCCTCTTGACTGGTTTTAAACAGTTTGTGTCAGTCAGTTGCAAAAGCTGCTGTGACAGGTCGATTCTGCCCCCCCCAGGAAGCTGATTGGAGGTTGCATCCCGCTGGCATTAAAGCTCCGCCTTTCCCCAGGTCACATGGTGCTCCACCACCTCTTGCGGTCACAAAAGTAAAGAGTTTTGGATGGGAGGGTGGGTTTCCTGCAACAATCCATCCAAGCATCAGTCCTACATGGTGACCGCAGCAGTCGGAGAGGTGGGGGGGTGCTTTGGGGGGGCTAGTTCCAGCAGAGCCTGCACTGTGCCTGCTACCTGGGGCAGCCCACTCTCTTCCAGAATGTGCAGGGGCAGGCAGAGTGATGCCTGATGGGAAACAGGCATGTCCATGGCCATGGTGGGGGGGGGGGGATGAAACACAAACACATCAGTGGATGATGGAATGGAAACAAGATCATAACGAAATGAACACACCTCAACAAAAAAACAAGAATACAAAATAAATTCAATATGGCAGGTGTCACAGAAGCGGGGGGGCATTCTGAGTGGGAGACACACCAACCACAACCAACAGCAAGATGGATGGAGAGAATTCAGCCAATCAGGTTCCACAACAGGCAGGCAGCGCTGCAGCGTGACAGGTTACACGGCATGCGAGTGTGTGTGCGTTCAGCAAAGCAAGACAGCGAGACGAACAGTCTGACTTTTATTAGGAAAGTGTGTAACTGCAACAAGCGTGTCAGTCAACGAACCAGGAAATTAAGTGCACTGCTGGGAAACAGGAGGTAGAGTCTAAATCGGGGCCATTTCTCTGTTCCTGAGCACCTGAGGGCATCCGGGTGATTTTTAAAATAAAGTAAAGGTGTACACCCATAACCAATGGTGGGGCTAGATGCTGATTACTGCTCTTCACTGCGTTTGGGATGTTACACACCTACATGTGCTTAGCTGGACAAAGGCACACTGAAACGTCACTGATTTCAGGCACGAAGGAGACATACGTCTTTTTCCGACAAAGTCCATTTTCTCACGTCCCCTGCTCCCGCATAAATTTCACAGAAGACGTACCAGATGAGCGCACACCAATTTGTGGGCGTCTTTGGAGAAACCGCAGCGTGCCAGAGTGCTAATGGCCATGCACAGCCAGCCCAGGTGTGGCAGTTCAGAGGCAAGGCAGCAGGTGGCAGTAGAGAGCACACAGCACTGACATGACGGACAGGTAGAAAAGTGCAAAGCCAGCCAGGTGTGCCGGCGGGGCAGAGCGGAGTGGGGGACCCAGTGAGAGCAAGGCCTTCACTGTGGCATACACGCCCAGCCCCCGTGCGCCCAAAACATCCCCCACGGAACACAGGTGCTCCTTCCACAGGTAGGTATGAGACAGGATTTATGACGGGGGTGCAGGAAGGGCAGGAAGAGGAAACAGAGTAAACAGAAGCGGGTGGTTAGAGAAAAGAGACAAAGGGAAGAGAAGAACAGGCTCGTTAGCAGCAGAACATGGCTGTTAGCTGTACGAGCTACAGGTCACCTGACCTGGGCTGACGGCAGCCTCACCTGGGGGACGCCCATCCTGCGGCAAGCCTCCAGGAAGTTCTCCACGTTCCGCCGGCACTTGGCCATGGTCAGTTTGGGCTGTGAACCGAGAGTGCCGGCAGGGTGAGATGGGGTGTGCGCGCACACTCGCAGATAGACACCCAGACACAGGACACTCACCACAGCAGGCGAAGGCACGTGGATGCTGGGCACGGATCGCGGCCGCACGTGATTGGCCAGATGGCACAGCACGACGCCGTCAGTCAAGGCAGCGCCCAGGTCGCTCGGTAGCGACACCTTGAGGCGAGTCTCGATATTCTGTGGGTTAGAGCACCAGGGTCAAACAGGGGTGAGCGAGACCGCAGAGCTGGTGAGTCACGGTGGCAGTGCGCCGGTCTTGCCTTGCGTAGCTGCTCCACCGACTCCAGTTCTTCTCCTACGGGACCGGAGGGCGACTGTGGGACGGGCTCCAGAGAATGAGGAGCCCCCTGATCTAATGGGGGGAGGAAGCCAAGCAGATGGGTGTCACACGACGAGCGTGCTGCGGGTCAGCCGGAGAGCGAGGCGGCTCGCTCAGCACTCACCTCTCCTCCGCTCCTCTCTCTGGCTCAAGCGGAAGAGGAAGCTCTCGGGCCGGGAGGTAGGGCCTCGGTGGGGGGGGGGGGCCAGGGGGCCCCGGTGGGAGGGCGAGGTGACAGGGCCGGCATAGGAGGACGACTGGTAAGCTGGGGGGGATGGGGCAGAAATATTAAGGCCTGCCCTGTGATTAAAAACATAACAAGGTGTTACGGGGTCAGAGGTCACGCTCACCTGGAGGAGACAGAGGGGACCGGTCTTCACCCAGCTAACGAGAAGCAGGAGGGGAAATTGGGGAACAGAATTAATGAAACAAGTGATATGGCAACATGATGGGAAAGAGACGTGGCTAGCAGGGGATGGTGACTGCTGCGGAGGGCAGCCAGCA